TTAATCCTCTGGGGTTCTTCGGGTCAAATATGACCCGAAGCGTTTAAATAAAAAAAATGTTAAAAATCGTAGCTTCATCGGAATGGTCCAAAACTTGGTGACTTTTTTGGTACTTGGTATATGAACACCCAAAAAAATTGGGGACAGGATTTGAAAAGTCTAAGTGGTCGTACAAAAAATAGTCACACTCAGGGTCTTCGGGTCTAAAATGACCCGCATAGGAAATGAATGGGAAATTGGCAAAAATATGAAAATACAGAGTTTTTTTGTGCATACAATCTACCAAACAGCCAGGATGCAGAAAAAAGCACACAACAGTGAAGGGGTGAATCTCTTAAACAATGGCTGACAAAATGCTTTCCATTTGTTCTTTTTATAATGCAATGTTCAGGTTTGAATGTATTATAAAGTAAAACTGCCACTTCAAATTACCATTTAAACCAACCAAAAATGTATTTATTTTTTTTTAATTTTAAAAAATGACAAAAATAGTCTTTGAGAATCTGTTATTATATATTCAAATCAACAACCTGAAAAAAATTAAACAATATGTGAAAAAATCACTAGAGTGTTTCTACCATAGGTTTCTACAGAGAGCTGTAAATCTACTAGTGGTAAAAATGTGCTATTGCGTGATAAAAATGCTCAGTGTGTCCACCAGATGGCTCCGATCTCATTTCAAAAATTGCTTTCATGAGGCCTAGACTTGACTCTAAAATGAAATACAGCTTTAATAAAAATTTTTTTTTTTATATATATATATATATATATATATATACATTTTCTATTATATTCAATGGGAAAAAATGGGTCTTAATTATTGCATAAATATTAATTATAAATCATAAAATTATCTCAAAACACCAAAAAAGAAAAGAAAAATATTATTGAACAAAAATATATTTAATTGATTTTACTCAAATAAAATGTATTTTAATGCCGCCCTCCGGGTCATTTTTGACCCGAAGGTCCTGAGTGTGAGTCTAAAATGAAGAACCCCAGAGGGTTAATTGTGCCTTTACCAAAGAACTCCAGATAATTTGCTCACATTCATGCAGATTTCTGTAAAATCCGTAAGCCATACAGTTAGTTTCACACATATTAATGTGTTTTACAATGCATTGTTGTATTTATTAGTAATTTTGGACATATGTTTTAGTTTTTGGGTCAATATGAATTATGAATGTGCTTGTTGAGCATTTTAGAATATAAATGCAGGTACCAAAAATCAGGTTTTTCGTTTGTACAGATATACTGTATGCATGAACATATAACTTTATGCAAGCAATAGTGCAGTTGTAGAGTGAAACTGAGGACTTTTATTTTGCGAAAAGGACCCGTTGGCTGTACATTATCCAACTTATTACACAGCTATTTTAATAATAATACTCACATAAAATATTTAAGCAACTAACTGAAAAGAAAGAGTGGCACAAAGAATTAAATCAATGGATGTGTAAAAAAATGTAATGAATAATCTGTACATATTTGAGTGCTTCGTGTGGCAAATTGGCAATGCAAAAGCCATCGATACATGTACAGCTCAGTGCTGACCAGGCGTAATGGTCGGATAGGGGATTAGGCAGCATTGCATTGTGGGATGTCAGCAGGAAGACGAGTTCGATTACATTGTTTCACATAAAACATTAACCTGCAATTACAGTTATGCAATTATGAAATGCCTTAAATGTTAGAAAATAATACATTTTGCAATTATGAAATGCCTTAAAGTCCCACTCCGATCATATTTTTGAGCTATTTTTAAACATTCCCAGTGGTCTTTAAATTATGATTATGCCATTTTTAGCCAAAATCACAAAACCTGTGCCGTTTTCTGGGACTTTGCTTCAGCAGAGCGGCAGTAGCTCATTAGAAATTCGCCTCTGCGTTGTGGGCGGAGCCGTTGGCACGGAGACGCCCCTCCCCCTCCCCGTTGCTGAGAGCTCTGTCTCTCCCGCTAGCTTAAATCCCCAAACTGTCAATACCGGTGCAACAAAAATGGAGAACAATATTGGAGCTATCCAGCCGTACAGTTTTGAGCCAGATGCCAGCTCGGACGAGGAACAAGAGGACGTACATAGATCTAGTCGTCGTCTACAAGTGGATGTATCAGAATGGTATTGTTTTTGTAATCTCTTGAATTGACTATTTCAGGCCAATAACTCCTAATAACATGTTAGTAAATAAATATGTTTGTGGACATGCTCCAAACATTTAGTCAGATTAACCTTTTTGAAGTTGATAGTGTCTTGATGGAAGGCACTGCATCCGGCTTCAAAAACAATTTATTGACGAAGCCCATTTTCTTCTCCTGCCAGTTGGTGAAACAGTCTTCTGTAAAGTGCTGAACGCAAACCGATGTGTGGTTTTTAACATTGCCGTGACCAAGGAACGTAATCCATCTATCTCTCACAGCAACATGTTTTGGTAAAGCATGAAAGCTAATACCACTATTTCTCCTCTTAGCATTGCAACCCGCTACCGCACATAGGTGTTGATCCGCCATCGTCTTCTCTACTCCTCAGAACCTGAGCGGGCGTGGCGGGGAGTATGAGCTTGTGGCCCCGCCCAGTGGAGTTACTACGTCACAACTCCAGTCTATTTCAAACGGCATTTTTGCGTCTGCTACTGATTCACAGCCATTTGAATGTAGAAATACTCAGAAATACAACTTTGAGCTTATTTTTCTAAAGATATGTCCTCTAACATAAGAAAAATGCCACAAGAACATGTTAACACCTAGAAAAACATTATTTTCATCGGAGTGGGTCTTTAAATACTAGAAAAGAATGCATTGTACAATTACGCAATTATGAAATGTTAGTGTGACCTAAATATCTGCACTGTTTAAACTATTAAGACAGGACAACTGTAAAAAAAAATGATGATGAATTATGAATAAAGTACATATTGGCATATGCAACAATAAATTTGTGTGACTTTACAGTATTTTCCTGGCTACTTTGCAGTATTTGTTTCTTTGTTTGTTTGTTATACTACATGTGTAGTTCGTACAGATTTGTTATAAAATCGTCTGCTTAATGCATAAATGTAATGAATTCAATGACAATGATTTGTTGTGACGCAACATTTTATTAAATCTTCCAAAAAAAGACAACAACAACATGAAAATTAGAATAGGACCTTACGTTTGTTCATCCCGGAGGACCTTACGTTTGTTCATCCCATCATCGTGAAAATAAATATGCTATCATTAATATATGCTGTAAGTTACGTTCTTTATTTTTTTTATTCGACATTTTATGTGTTGTACTACAGCACATTCAAGAATATTTGCATGTTTCTCAAGCAGGAACATCTGCAAATGTGCGTGGTGGGGTCTGCAGTCGATCTAGGGACAGTTTCGCTTTGCATGTTTAAAAAAAAACATTTATTTATTTTGCAGAACTTATGCATAACTACCAGCTCAGGAAAGTTAAGCAAGGTGTACAAACAAACAAACAATGGTAACAGAAAATAAATATCCTGGGTTTGCATACATCAAATTATGTAATTATACACAAAACAGAAAGAAAAGCATAATAATAAGGTCAAGTCATATCTTTGAATAAATCATCATAATGCATCGAAAATTTTCACTTTTTTTGTTATTTATAAGTCTAAGGGACGAAATAAAAGAGTTAAATTCAGCAAGAAAAAAAAAAGCTCAAAAGAGATTTAAGCCATTTTTGCTTGTGGATGAAGAATTTTGCATACAAGATAAAGAAATTAACAATATATTCAAGGGATAGCAACTTTTCATAATAAAAGATAACCTCTTTGAGAATGAAGGTGTGGGCTAAAAACAAAAGAAATTAATTCAACCCAAAATCTATTGGTTATTACAGTCACAAAATAAATGGGCGGCTGTTTCTTCAACAAAACCACAGAAAGAGCAAGTTTCATCAATATCAGAATATTTAGAGATGGAAGAGTTAACAGGATAGATCTAATGAAGGATTTTTTAATGAATTTCCTTAACTTGTTGGATACACTAATTTACTAGGTAAAAGCCAGGCCTTTTTCCAATTTACATTTGTTACAAGGGATCCCCAATAGAATTGACCCCTTGGAGTAATCTTTCTCTTCATTTGAAAAATTGTACGAATATGTCTGTTGCATTTTCAATCTATAAAATCAATACCGCCCAAGGTTTCGACATGGAACAACTGCATTCAGCTTGTTTACATAAGCATTCTCTGCACTCGTCTGACGCTATCACTTTCAGTACTCATTGAGTCCCCCTAGTCTAGTGGACTGGATATAACATCACAACTAAATAGGTAATTTACAATACCCTGACACCTTCCCCTTTTAGTACAATACTTCAGGTTACGATTCTGGTTACCTTATGAACTCCATATTTCAGTAACCTTACATAACAAAGATGACTATGTATTTAACTCTCTAGAACTCACTTACCAGAACATATTTTCTTTAAACACAACATTACTCTGTCTTTGCAATCATTTGTCAGGTTCTTAATTTCCACAACAAATGACAGAATATTAATTATTATGTTCAGGAATAACCAAGCCTGGTCACATAAAGACATTGTTACCGACAACTCATAAGTCCAACCGCTCAGTTGGCTTACTCACTCTGCCTGATCTGGTGATATTATAATGGAAGAATTTGAATAAATTCTGACTATGGTGTTTCCCACGGGGAATATTTCACTAACTTAACCAACATAAAATCAAAGAGGGAATAACGTTTGAGTGTGAGGGAGGTCTAAGGAGTGAAATGCATGTACTCAAATTGCAAGAAAAAATGTGGGATTAAACCGTCTAATGATAATGTAATCTGATCATCCATGTAAAGAATTGCACCTGGTGACCATTGCTGTGGCAACTTGGTTTGGTGACTAGTAAACTTGTGTTTAATGTCAAGCTTTCAGCGTGGATTTTTCTTATTTTTCTTCTCTTTTCTTCAGTTTGAAACTCCTCCAGAACATACAATGATGGTTATGTGAAGCTGTGAATATAAGAGACCATTACTAATCACAGTCCTAAGAGGTAAAAAGTTTCTAAAACTCTGATATTTCAAACATCCAAGCAGCTAAAGTCACTTTTAATAATCTGTTATATTGTTGTTGTTGTTGTTTTTTTTATCTTTAAAAGAGTTTCTTATTTAGTATGTGTTAAAATAGCTACTTTTAAAGTAGTATTACTTTTTCAAAAATAAGCTTTTTCTTTCTTATTGCTAGAAGGATGTCATTCAGTTTCACTGTTCTTAAACGTAAGAACATGTCCTGTGTGTGTTTGTAGAACAAGATGTTTTGCTTTCCAAGACTCTGTTTATCAAATTCAAATTTTATTAAAACAAAATGTTTTGTGTGCAGAGATGCTGTGCACATCAGAGGAGAAAGTCCACCCGACGGATGTCAGCAAAATCCAATTAGGAAATCTGATACAGACAAGTTTATTCTCAAACATTGAGAAGGTGAGACCTATTGTGTGTTTGTGGCTATTTACATATTTTAAATGAAAAGGTAATTTAAATAATAAGAAGACACAGAGCGAGCGGTCCTGGTAGCAAGTGTTTCTGAAAACTACCGTGTGCAACCGAGTTGCATACAAACATTTCAGTTTTATTTTAGTGTAATTATAATGTGTGAAAATAAATACCAGTTGAATATAATTGCTCTGTTGTTAATTTTAACCTTTAATATTGTACCAAATAAGAGGACGCATCTTTTTCGGCAGCACTTGATCGAGTAATACTAACACTTTCTCTTCCATTTTATTTATTATTATTATTATTTTTTAAAGTACATGTACTGCGTTAGATTAAACTGGGAAGGGTCATGGCACTTGCATATTGTTGTCCTATTATTAGTTTAACTGCTTATATTGCTCTCATTTGTAAGTCGCTTTGGATAAAAGCGTCTGCTAAATTAATAAGTGTAAATGTAAATGTATAGTTTGCTGCATTATTTTCCATAAGAAAATCAAACTTTTGGCATCGGCAGATATTCTGTAAATCTAGTTCCGGTGCATCTCTAATATAACCTGTCAGTGAAATTTAAACTATAAAGCAAATATTAACTTAAAATATAATATAATTAATCAACTGTATAAAGTTGCAACATATAAAACACGTGTGATAACCTACTGTTAACATTAACTAAAACCATAAAACGTTTTCATTACTTGAAATAAAACATTAACTGAAATAACATAGAAGGTTAACTATAAACTAAATAGACTTAATAAAAAAATATTTATAAAACAAAACCAAATACAAAAGACAAAAAAACAACAAAATCACTAAAACTTTAAAATGGAAATAAAAAAACTAAGTATAAAAATAAAATCTAATTCAAAATAATAACAAAAACTATAATACTATATCATTGATACTAAAATAATACTGCTGAATTATATATTTATACACATTATATAATGTCTCTTGCATTCATTAATATTAGTGTTGACTTGTTTATCAACCAAGCAAAAATATTATGATTTTATCATTTTATTTTGGAGGGCAAACATGTATTTAAAGTTCCCCTGTAGTCAATAATTTTATCCCTTAAAACTCATCTTTGATGAGGATGTTTTTTCCTTGAATTTTTTTTCACGCCTTAAAATATCTTGAATGTAAATCGACACCCTTGCCTCATTTAGTATACGCGGCTCTATGAATATGCAAATGAGCCCCGCCTCCACTCACTCACTCAGCTCAGAGATCCACTGGTTGACGATCACACGTTGATCTGATTGGTTACAAGGTCGTTTGTGACGTCAGAAACACCAGCGATTTCAAACCGTGTTTTTGAGGCTGTCTTTGGTTCACTGCAGTTTTAAGCAGAAAATACTCAGCAATGCTGTCGACTTATGAATTTACACATGATGTGTCTTAAAGCATATTAAAAACACCACATACACATATAAACAACATTAAAAACTTGTTTTTCAAGGTATACATTTTATCAGTTCATGCATTTTAAGTATTGTAATTGTGGCTGTGGTTAAGCTGCAGTATGTTTTCATAGTACAAGTCTTGATTTAAGCCCCTTTCAGACCCTGTCCGTATTTCAGTAGTGCTTCCGTCCCTGTGTCTAACATCAATCTGACTGCAGTGCAGTTTTTCATGGTAGACCGTCCTGCCCATACACACCCTCCCCCTCCCATACCTCTGCCCGTCTCATTCACACACTCACTGTCTCTGATGTGAGCATGGATGAGGCAGCGGTGGAGCTGATCCTCGAGCAAACACTCGCTGTTCAAGGTGGCCGAAATCTGTCTCTCTTTCCCTCCTTGCAGCACTGGTCGCTCGCCGCCTGGATTAAAGACAACATCAAGAAGAAAGAGTGTTGCTTCTATGTGGAGGATGCCAGGTATGAGGAGCGTGTGTGTTTGTGTGTGTGTGTGTGTGTGAGTGTGTGTGTGATGGACAGATCAGACGGAATTTCTGATGTTTAATGATCTTGACTTGTAAAGCTGAATCATTAACCCTGAGGAATTAACCCTATAAAACTTTTTGTATCATATTTGATACGCAATTTTTTAAGGAATCAACATTACTAAAAAACCTCTTGCACTCAATCTACTACATGCCTTCGGTCATATGATTGATAGTTTATTGTTTTAGGTTTATTCGATTATCCATATCATGTTCAACTGTGAGTATCAAATATGATCATCAGGCTTTTGAGGAAGGATTATTTGTTCATCTCTCAATCATCACTGTATTACATGGGGCGTTGAGGCGTTCGTCTGTTATAGGACAACTTAGTTTGAATAAACGAGCAGACACTGATTAGTTACTTGCTCTACATTTATTTTAAATTAACAGCAAGACAACTAGCAGTGAATGTGCTTTCCATTAAATGAATCACACACAGTAAACAAATCCTTAACACAAAAAAAAACAGGCCTTTCTTTGTCAGTGTCGGCTGCAAAGATGAAGTTGACGATGCACAGTAGTGAACAAATGCACATTTCATACGGATTACATAAGCAGAGAGCAGTCTGTAGTCTGTTTTCTTTCGTTTTGAATTGTTCTGTTTAAAAGTAGACATGTCTGTGAGGCAAGTAGGTTACCTTATACGCCGAGTTTCGGTTCATTTATGAGACGAGCTCCAGTTCACGCGCCGGCACATCCGTTTCGTGATTATCTATCTGCTATATTTACTTCTTATTTATTAAATCCAGGCAATTGGTTGATGAAACATTGATTAAAATTAAGATACAATTAATACAAAACGAAATTCACTTTAAAGAAAGGTTTTGTGCTTTCTGTTTGATGTCTCTGTGAACGTTTTACTCTGTGAGACGTGATTAAATGTCACGTCTTTTAGTGGCGCTTTCAGACCGGTCACACCCGTAACATTGTTTTTTTTTTTGTTCTGTGGAGACTACTGTTACTCATAATTTGTATTCTGAATACGTAACGCCGGTACATGTATTCCGTTACTCCCCAACATTGATATTAGTATAACCTTATCTACAAGATATTTTAATAACACGGTTAAGGCGGTTATAGAGTTCTAATGACGGTGTTCAACTATAACCGTCGGTCTCAAGGTTATATAATAACCGTCACACCCCTAGCAGCCGTGCAAGAAAACATGACCATAATACTTCCATTAATGGTTTATTGATTTCAAAGTTCTCCTGTATGTTGACAAGGCAATGCTCTCTGATCTCCTCTACTTTCACTCTCAATCTTGAGCACTTACGTCTTCTGATAAACATCTTTTAATAGTTCCTTATTGTAACTATAAATCAATATGACCATGCTTTTTCTGTAATAATAATGACGCATAAAATTATCATGACTTGTGCACTATATATATATATACCGGTATATATTTGGTCAACTATTATTTTAAAAGTCATTGGGTCTCATTCATGAAACACAAGCCGAACGAATTTTTGTGTAAATCGTGTGTAAAGTGGTTCTGGCGTAAATTTTCGGATTCATTAAAATGTTCATATTTTCCAAATGTTAGTTGGTACGAAAGAAATCTACACCTGCTCCCAGCCACGCGTAAATAGTGAGTTTAACATCCGAACGTTTTGCTCATTAATAACTAAGGCTGCATTTTAATTCACCTTAATCGGGTACATATTTACACGGCATTTTGAAAAAATATTAAATATAGTAATTACATACGGTTTTTCTTTTACTTCTGGGACTGTTTGATTAACAGCTGAAACTCCAGTAACTGCATCTGTAATATGCTGCCAAGCTTGCTTTTCTTTAGGACCTGATACGCCACTATGTAGCCTACGCTTGAACATAAAATGTGGTGTTTTGAATGAACTTTTGATAATAAAACTTCGATTTCTGCATCTGAGAAATTTTTCTTTTTCATTCGTTTTTGAGAAGACATGTTGAAATCCTTCGTTTGGTGTCATAATATGATGCCCATATATAGTTGTCAGTAGGATTTAATGGGCGGGATTTATGGTAATTGAGAATGAGCGTGCACGCGCGTCCCATTTACCACTGATTGGAATTCATTAACACACACACACATTTCACTATCACATCTGACGTTTACGAAGTATTTGTGAATTAGGAGATGAGTTTTCGGGAAGGTCTCTTTACGCGTAAATCACTCACATATTTATTCGTATATTTACGAATGTTTCATGAATGAGACCCATTGTGTGTATATAAAATATGATGAAGTATAGTTCATGATGTGTTGGTCATATGCAAGTTGACAAGCGTAAACTAAAGATCACGTGCACTCCTGATCGCTTCTGTGTGTGGTTCGGCAACATTCGGACAATATGTGTGGTGTGTGTGTTGTTGGGCTGTGTGGATAACATGGATTACTGTTGACAGGGAGGGGATTTGTAAGTGTGGTTACCAAAAGAACCAGCACTGCGATGAGGCCATCAAACCGGAGGACTATGTTGGGGAGCAGTGGCACAAACACAGGCACATCAGAGAGACGCCCACCGATGCTTTTGGAGATATCAGCTTTGGTGGACTTGGACAGAAAACCGGGAAGGTAAAATGACGACTTGATTCGAACGGACCTCCTTTCTATTATACACTCTTAAAAATAATTCTGTAGAAGATCCATTACAGTAATCAGATGTCAAAAGAACAATTTTTTTCTTTGTGTGAACAACATTTTAATTATCTAAACAACCTCTTAACACTACAAAGAACCTTTTGTCCAATGGAAAGGTTCCATGGATGTTAACCCCCTGGGGTCGGCTATCGCGCCGGCGCGATTGTCTCGCTTTTTTTCTTATCAGTGCAAAAGAGACTCAAATAACTCAGTCGATTTTTGTCATACAGGCAAATGTTATACATCAATCGATCCTGTTAAGTTTCTATTTTTTTTGTGGATACTCACAATAAAAACAAAGTGTTGTGCTTTTCACCAAATAAAGAAAAACAAACATGATGCGAGTTCTGCGTTCTCTCTGTCAGTGAAGTCCATTCTGAAACGCGTCCTAAGATTAACTGTAACTCCGCGATTACTTGTCATACAGGCACGAGAGGTTTTTCTTTATGAAGCTTGAATTCTCTTCTTTTAAATGAAGTAATTTATATAAAAAACAAATATTCTCAGTTTATGCAATCTGTATGAAAAGAGAGTGCTGTCAGTATTTTTTTCCCCAGCTCATTACACTTCATTACGCGTTAATCTGACACGCCCACGGAGGACGCGCGCTATTCAAACGCAAATGTCGGCAAGCCATGACAACGCCCACATCAGCCGTTCCACCGCGGCGGTAAAATGTGTGGTGTATTTGCTGCCTTTTACCGCTAAGAGGCGCTACAATCATAGACTATGAAAAGTGTTCGTTTATTCCGGTTTATTCTCTCTAATGCGTAATCTGCTGCCGCACCGCGCTGATTCAGAGCGATTGAAAGCTGGTAGCAGAAGAATTCAACAAGTGAAACGTAGTTAAAATAATTCATAATCACAATACTGAAATTAGGCTACTGAAATGTAATTGAATAAATAATGAAAACATTTCAACATAAAACATTGCAATAAAAACATTTAGGCTACATCAATGAGGCTTTACAACTTAAACAGCGTACAGACGACAGCTCAGTGGTTAACGCAACAACACGAGCTTCGAGGAGCTTCAAACGACCCGAGATCGAATCTCAATGTAGCATACATGTTGTTAATCGATGTTGCCCTACAGCGTTTATATTTTACCACCTTGATGCTTAAATAGCTAACTGTTTATAACTGTTTACTTATTTAAAGTCAAGAGTTTTGTTTAATTACAACATAAATTTGCTACATTCCTGTAGAACCGCAGCGCTGCACAAACGACATAAACTGATGAAGGAAGATTGTCAGCCGATTGCATCAGAAAATGAAAATGAAGAAGCTCGTCTTTAGTCTGCTAAATTATTGTGTAATGTAAAAGAACACTAAAATTACTTAAGTTTGAAACCAAGTTCGAACATTTCAAGGTTTAAATAAAGTGTCGGGACAGTTTTTTTTATTTAAAACAGGGTTGCATCGGGTTTAGAGTTTATTTCTTTTGCGATGCAAAATAAGAAACACTAGGCTAATCTTATTATTGCGACATTTTAAATTTGTATTGCCAAAGAAATTACAGCTAAATTAAACAATTAAAACAGTACAAAACGAAAATTGTCCAAAGAAACATAATTAAATTAAAAACATGCGTTTTTCTTTGCCTCTCTCGCGCTGGAACTCTTTTTAACAAATTTATTTAGTCTCCCTCGCTGCGCATGCATGATATGATCAATGCATGATAATTATTTAGCCTTTAATTGTTGCTTCAAAGACACAGCATGCCTTGTTGAATTCACCTTACAATAACTTCAATTGAAATTTTGTGTGAAAAAAAAACTTAAAATAGGCTACAATAAATGAACTACAATATTTATAATTTAATAGATATGGGGCCTACATTTGGACACAGATTTATCCTTACAATAATTTTGCCTGCTCATCAGGCTGGCTATCCGACACTCTCCATATGAAAGAGGAACATTAACACCTTTGTCCAGCAAATGTCCCTCCAACCCCCCACAGGCTATCGGAGTCTGAGGCTGACTTAACACAAAGAGAAGTCGCAATTCACACTTAAATCGCTATTCTAGACAGTGTTGATAATGAAGGAATTAAATGATTTAAGTTACATGTAGCCTAGTGATATTTCTGTCATAAAAGTTTATTACTAAATATTTCATTATTTCAATAATTAATGAAATAAAACTGGTTTGGGCCAGCTTTTTCCAAGCAAAACTAAAGATAATCTGAAAAAACGCTTGTTAATTTGTTGTCATGAACAAAATGTTCAACTTAATATTAAAGTCTACAGGGATCTTTGGATCCTTACAACCAGGCATGCAATTTGTGAATTAAGTTTTTATTTTATTTTGTATTCAAATAAATATCGAAACACGGTGCTTCGTGGTAATGCTGCTAAATTAAATAACATTTATAGAATAAATATGAACTTAAATGAAACAATATCGCAACATTTCGACAAATACATTATTACTTTAGCCTTTTACAGTTTTAAAAGATTATATCTTATCTGTATGACCAACAATTTGTATAGGCTTATCTGGAAATTACCATAACTTGTAGTATTTCATCCTTAGGCTACTGTTAATAGACATTAGCCCCACTTACGTTTTGCTAAATGTCCCTTTGCGCCACCTGGCGGTCATTTCGCGAACGACTTTGAAATGAGACTGGTTTATTTTTACCGCGGTGGATGGCTAAAAATGGTATGTGGATGGCTAAAAGGTGTGACTAAAAATGTGCTTTTGGCTTTCATTTATATTTTGATTGTTTGTATATATATATATATATATATGTATGTATATATACTGCTCAGTCAGTCTGCTCAGGTGAGAACTGCCTAATTATTCATGAGGGGGTTGGGCCGATCCGCCCATCCGCATATTGCCTTTGCAAACAAAAAAATGTTTTTCACAATTTAAAACAATCTATTGTTTTATGTGAATGATTAGGCAGAATGATTTTCAGATCAATTTGAAGCAAATACTCTAGGCGACAACATCCACTAGTCAAAAGTCTTGTGGACAGATATTTAGTATGTTATTTGTGGCCTTATATTAGAAACTTTATTTTTTATTTTGTTCAATAACCACGCATAAACAATATTCTCTCAAAAATACAAACATGTACATACATGTTGCTCACATATTATGGTAGCCCTGTGTGTGCTATAAAGAGTGTAATTTCACCTGTGCCATTAATATGTTTATAAGCAACTGAAAAAAGCACAAATGTCAGAGCATGCCAAAACATCTCAAGGACCCCGAAAACACCTTGGACCCCAGAGGGTTAAAGGTTATTCATGTAGGTGATTAAATGTCTTTTCAGTGAAGCTTAGAGTGACTGAAACAGGAGTAGACTGCAAAAACAAATCATTCTTAAAGAGAATTTTGTCTTGTTTTCCAGTTAAAACATATATAAGTCCTCAAATTGAGAAACATTTAGGCTACTTGAAAAGATACACTTAGATATTTAGCCTTGATTTCATAGATTGAATCTTGAATATAAGTGTATTTTGTCTTAGGGGAGCATGCACACATCACCGTTTTCAACTAAAAATGCAAAACTTTAGACGTTCATTTACACAATGCCATTTTAGGGGCCTGAAAAATGCAAACTTTTGAAAATAGTTTCAAAGACCATTATCGACTCCGTATAAACTACAAAAACGTGAATTTGTGAAAACGATGATGTCATCATATGCATATTACGTGTTCACGCTGCTTTCGAAATTGCATAAGGTACTACATTTGGTTTAAAACTTACTTCGCAACCGTTAAAACAGTAAGTTCTATATAGTATGAATGTGTGTAGTATGAATGAAAATCGGACGTACTACATTCACCATGATGTCATTATCATGTGACCTACGGCCTCAGTTGCGTCTCTTTACCGCTATTCACTATCCTCTCCCGTGGCCTCATGGGATAGTAAAGTCAAATGCACACTTCAGAATCTCAGTAGGTCATCCTGGTACTTTTCGCCTACTGTTTTATGAATACTATGAATTCAGACATACTTCTCAGCCTACTATATAGTAGGAGAGTAGGCATATTCGGACGCAGCATCAGTCTATCCACCTTATTCCTGACGACCTTACTGCGTTTTGAATTATGGGTGGCAGTGGCACTTTCGGTCTGGGGAACTTCCATTCAAAAAGGCTAAAACGAATCATTTCAAATCATAAGGTTGCCCTATAAATAAAGCTGATCCATCAGTTTTCCTTCATGATTTATTTTCAGACATCATGAGAATAACGTTATACTTGGTATTTTAACGTGACATGTTATTACAAGAATATCTACGGCGAGAGCTCTTTTCAGTCGCTGCTTTCTTTTCCTCATGATGATTTTATTTTTTCCTTTGCAATCCGCTGTAAAAGTATAAAAAAGGACAACATATACGGCACATTTGTGGTCTGTTCTCCCGAATTTAATTTTACAATATTCCATTAATAATTCACTGGAACGCACGAAGAATCTCTCGTTATTCTCCTCAAATCCTCACGTCTCTTTCCAGGTTTGTTTTTACAGGTAAATGCAATTTATAATCTGTCAAAATGACGGAAATCACTTTGATATAGTGTCACGTAATGCTGAAGTTAATGAACATTTTTGATTAAGGCTTGTTATACAATACAGAGATATATTTGCCCACTACAGTGATATTTAACCAAAGACTCGCGCTTTTGGAGCTATCTTTGGTCTGTTGAAAGTAGGCTACCTTGTTGATTCTTTTAAACTTTTAAATTTCATTTTAATGTTCGATGGTTGAAGGGTGAGTCGATTAATGTCATCTCATTGTGACACTTTTGTAACGTATTGCGTTCATAGAGCGAGCCTTTCACTGATTGTTTACAGCTTAACGGAAGTTACACCCATAGCGCGTGCAAAGCGTCATGGGGCGTAGGAATAAGGTGGATAGACGTGTAGTGTTTAGTTTTACAAAGCGACATCTGCTTACTGGCCTGGCAGCAGAATACAGCGTTTCTAGATGTTTTTGTGGATCCGTCTGAATGGGGGTCGTTTTCACAACATTGTCTTTTAAATGTAAAATTATATTGTAGTAGAAGTACCAGTACAAATTGAATGTAGAAGGACTGAAATTTCCGAAACTGTTTTGTCAGGATTATTTTACAATAATATTTCATATCAGAAATTACATCTGACAACAATAATACAAATTTTGTAAAGAAGCATCTGACAAATGCAAATAAAAATGCCATTATTCAGGCTGTTCCTCCATCACAGTTGATATCCTTATCACAAGGATAAATACATTCACCTTTGTCTTATGCTAGAACTATATATGCGAACTCATAGAAGGGATTCTGTTGTGTGTGTTTAGTATGTCCGGGTGTCGTCGGACACGACCTGTGAGAGTCTGTACCAGCTGATGACAGAACAGTGGAAACTGCGTTCGCCGAACCTGCTGATTTCAGTGACCGGCGGAGCCAAAAACTTCTACATGAAGAATCACCTGAAGGACAAGTTTCGTCGGGGTCTCATTAAAGTCGCCCAGACCACAGGTACAGTGATAATACACTATATATGAAATATCAAATGCTTGATTGAACTAAACTATATTATCGCATAGCTCTCTATATAAAGTTGGATAAATACATAATATTATATATATATAAAAAATTGATTTTAAGTTAATATTTAAATAATTTAACAACACATCTGCATGTTGTTCACGGTTCTCTGATCTTGGTTAATGGTCACATGACATTCAGGTAAACAAATAAAATATTTCAGCTGTTTAGTAATTGTTTTATTTTAGGTGCTTTTATTTTAAAAGGATTAAATTATTTTACATTTTCATGATTTCATTAATTATCAGTTTTTCTTCAACTCACAATCCCCCTCACAAACCAGCCTGATGGCCCATTCACACCAAAGACTATAACAATAACATCTCTTGATGAAAATTGATTTTGCATTTATTTTTACAAATTATATACATACATTGCCTTCTATAGAGTTGCTTATAGCTAAATTGAAATCATTTTTCATAATTTATGACCTTCTATGGTAAATTGCCAGAACCCATTTACCAGTATTTTTGAGAAGGTCCTGTTCACATACAGGTGAAACTCGAAAAATTAGAATATCGTGCAACAGTTAATTTATTTCAGTAATTCAACTTAAAAGGTGAAACTAATATATTATATAGACTCATTACATGCAAAGTGAGATATTTCAAGCCTTTATTTGTTATAATTTTGATGATTATGGATTACAGCTTATGAAAACCCCAAATTCAAAATTAGAATATTGTGAAAAGGTTTTCATAACTGTAAGCCATAATCATCACAATTATAACAAATAAAGGCTTGAAATATCTCACTTTGCATGTAATGAGTCTATATAATATATTAGTTTCACCTTTAAAGTTGAATTACTGAAATAAATGAACTTTTGCACGATATTAATTTTTTTTCGAGTTTCACCTGTATGATCTCTTAATGGTAATTTACCAGTAAAGGACTGTATGTGTGAAAGAAAGGGGCTTATGATGCCTTAAATGCTAAATATGTACAGTAGGTAGGATGTAACCGAGTGTATAGCTCTCAATGACACTGACAGGATTAGACCCGTCACAAACAGGTCTAGCACAAGCGGCAGAATCTAGTTTTGGATGGTTTGTTGTTTTGAAACGACTACACTTCTCTAGTCCCAATACTGTGTGTGTGTGGCAGGTGCGTGGATCCTGACAGGAGGAACACACGCAGGTGTGATGAAGCACGTGGGCATGGCCGTGAGAGATTACTCACTCAGTAGTGGTTTGATGGAGGGACAGATCGTCGTCATCGGTGTGGCACCCTGGGGAGTCATTCACAACAGCGACACACTGATCCATCCTGAGGTCAGATGTTGCCCACACCCGAGTACATACAGTATTGGTGCGTTCAAGTCATGTTGATAAGATCATATTTACGAGTTGAACTTACATGAACACCAGCACAGTCATAAATACGAGTGGATTTTCTTTAAGCCCCGATCTTAACAAGTTGGGTGCGTGTGGGTGAAAATTGTGCTGGAATATTTGGCAGTGATATTGTCAGAGAAAACAAGCTTATTTCTTCGCACAAAATATAAAATAGCATTGTAATATAACAATGTAAAGTAATGATAAAGTTTACAGCGGCTTCATAAATTTTGACAAAAACACACATGACCAGCGTCGGCCAATAGTGAGCCTGCGTCTGCGTGTGACGTACAACCCAGAAGCGCTGCGCTGTTACGCTACGTGAAATGTCGAGGCCCACAGAGAAGGAAATGAAGAGTTGAATTAAGTCGTTATTTTTGTTTGTTTTTTTGCGCACAAAAAGTATTCTCGTTGCTTGATAAACTTAAGGTTGAGCCACTGTAGTCACTCGGACTATTTTAACGATGTCTTTCATAACTTTTCTGGGCCGGCCAGTTTCGATCCCTTAAGAAGCCTATGGAGGAGTGATCCAGCTCTCAGATTTCATCAAAAATATCTTAATTTGTGTTGCGAAGATGAACGAAAGTCTTACGGGGAACAACATGAGGGCGAGTAATTACTGACAGAGTTTTCATTTTTGGGTGAACTATCCCTTTAAGAGATGGTACATCTCGCTCCGATGAAAGTGACTTTAACTCACCTGACGTCGTAAACACGAGTTCCCAACTCGTAAAATACAAACTTCCCAGGAAGACTTGAACGCACCATATTATGAACAACCCAAGATCAGTGTAAAGTTAAGAAGTGATTTGGTTCAGGAGATGTTCTAGCAGGATGGCGTGTCCATTAAAACACAGTGGATCCAGTACTCAAACCATACTCTTTTATTTGTAAATGGCAGCATGTGAATCAAGCCACAGTTGGGAATCAGATGTAGAGTTGTATGGTTTCTATAAACAAAAGACAATACAGAACAAACATAAACTCAAGAATTAACATTATATAAAACACAAATTCAAAAGGAATAAACTTACAATGTCCTGAACACACTAACTCTACAGAAATCTCTCTTTTTAGAGAGAAGGAAAAGAAAAGTCATGTTGCACACACAAACACAGGCAGCTAATCAATCATTTATTGCGTCTGAGGAGACCTGGCTACGTCATGTGATCCCATGAGACATGTGATTCTCAACAGCCGCCCTCAAATATGGAAACATATTTGCCACTAGACAATTTTGTACAATTATTAATTCAAGTACAGGGCTGAAACAGTCCATTCCTGTTGACCAAAATGGGTGCTTATAAAGGTGAACACCAAACTTTGCGACAGAATAATGTTGCATCACATAATCACAAAACTACAGAAGCCCTGAACCGCAACATAAAAAATAAAAAAAATCTGTAAAAAAATAAATAATAATCTAGCATTTCGAGATTACAGTCGAAACATTTCGAGATTACAGTCGAAACATTTCAAGATTAAAGTCGAAACATTTCAAGATTAAAGTCGAAACATTTTGAGATTAAAGTGGAAACATTTTGAGATTAAAGTCGAAACATTTCAAGATTAAAGTCGAAACATTTCAAGATTAAAGTCGAAACATTTTGAGATTAAAGTCGAAACATTTTGAGATTAAAGTCGAAACATTTCGAGATTAAAGTCGAAACATTTCGAGATGAAAGTCGAAACATTTCGAGATTAAAGTCGAAACATTTCGAGATTAAAGTCGAAAAATTTCGAGCTTAAAGTCCAAACATTACGATAATACAGTCTTCTATAGAAGTGTGTGCATTCATAACAGTGCGCGTTCAGAGCGCGCGTGTGTGTGTGTGTGTAAAGAAATGCACTTGTGAAGTCGAACTGCCATGGATCAACACAAAATAGTAGCTTTTTACTTTTATCTGGGCTTTCAACAAAATTCTACACAGGTGCTAATCTACCAACAAGAATTACCACGGCGTTATAGACGAGCGCGCAGACTCTGCTGGAGTATCACAATCTGGTCCACACTTTATGTGCCAGTGTTTTTGAGGTGTTTTCGTGCTCGTCTAGGCAACACTATCTGGGTCGAGAACACAACAGTAACCGTTCTGTCTCCCTCTTCACCGTAAATACGTTCTGGATACATTTTAAGTGCATCATTCTGTATCCAATCATTTGGCCGGATCCCGTGATTTCCTCAGATTTAATAACCACTAATGGTGGTTGAGGAGAGATTCTCTGATATGATTGTGAAGCGCTTTGAGTGTAGGCCTATTAGACATATGAAAGCGCTATATAAATGACTCATTCATTCATTCATTCCTAAAGCTGGATATCTCCATCCAGTCTGAAAAGTGTTTTCTGGGTTGGTTTTCCTATAGGCTAAAGTCTATTCCGGCGGAGTATATTTGATAACCTCCTATAATGGTAGCCTAATGCTGGTAGATTGGCACCTGTTGAATTCCCTTTTGTTGAAACAAAACACACACACAAAACACACACACACAAAACACACACACAGTGTGAAACACTCGCTATACACCATTATGAATGCCTGTGTGTGCGGCAATGTGAAACAATGGCAAGCACACACGCAACTTCTATGGAAGACTGTATTCTCAGACTCTCGAAATTTTTCGACTTTAATCTCGAAATTTTTCGACTTTAATCTCGAAATTTTTCGACTTTAATCTCGAAATGTTTGGACTTTAATCTCGAAATGTTTGGACTTTAATCTCGAAATGTTTGGACTTTAATCTCGAAATGTTTGGACTTTAATCTCGAAATGTTTGGACTTTAATCTCGAAATGTTTCGACTTTAATCTAGAAATGTTTCGACTTTAGTCTCGAAATTTTTCGACTTTAATCTCGAAATTTTTCGACTTTAATCTCGAAATTTTTCGACTTTAATCTCGAAATGTTTGGACTTTAATCTCGAAATGTTTCGACTTTAATCTCGAAATGTTTCGACTTTAATCTCGAAATGTTTCGACTTTAATCTCGAAATGTTTCGACTTTAATCTAGAAATGTTTCGACTTTAGTCTCGAAATTTTTTGACTTTAATCTCGAAATGTTTCGACTTTAATCTAGAAATGTTTCGACTTTAATCTCGAAATGTTTCCACTTTAATCTCGAAATGTTTCCACTTTAATCTCGAAATGTTTCGACTTTAATCTCGAAATGTTTCGACTTTAATCTCGAAATGTTTCCACTTTAATCTCGAAATGTTTCGACTTTAATCTAGAAATGTTTCGACTTTAATCTCGAAATGTTTCGACTTTAGTCTCGAAATGTTTCGACTTTAGTCTCGAATTATTTTTACTTTAATCTCGAAATGTTTCGACTTTAATCTAGGAATGTTTCGACTTTAGTCTCGAAATTTTTCGACTTTAATCTAGAAATGTTTCCACTTTAATCTCGAAATGTTTCGACTTTAATCTCGAAATGTTTCGACTTTAGTCTCGAAATTTTTTTACTTTAATCTCGAAATGTTTCGACTTTAATCTCGAAATGTTTCGACTTTAATCTCGAAATGTTTCGACTTTAATCTCGAAATGTTTCGACTTTAATCTCGAAATGTTTCGACTTTAATCTCGAAATGTTTGGACTTTAATCTCGAAATGTTTGGACTTTAATCTCGAAATGTTTCGACTTTAATCTCGAAATGTTTCGACTTTAATCTCGAAATGTTTCGACTTTAATCTCGAAATGTTTCGACTTTAATCTCGAAATTTTTCGACTTTAATCTCGAAATGTTTCGACTTTAATCTCGAAATGTTAGATTTTTTTTTTACTGATTTTTTTATTTTTTTTACGGAAGTTCAATCAAATGATGCACTTTAAATTTCGCCAACTGAAAAGATATTCAGCCGAAAATGAATTTGCTGATGGCACGTTAAACTACAACAGTTAACCTTTCAGCAGTTTGGATGCTAGGGCTGGGTTGACAATATTGATTTCTCGTTTTTAATACAGGTTATGCACAACAAACCTCCGAATTCTGTAAAAATTCTCCAAATAAAAAATAAAACATTCTGCATCGCTTCCGGTTCTGATCTTTTGTATGTCCTTCATTAAATATAGAGCCGTTTTGATATAGAACGGTATAGATGATATAGATTCAAGATGAGCATAACCGATGTCCGTCACATAAACAGATTGATATGAAAAATTGTAATTTTTTTTATTTTATTTTTCATCCCACTGACGCCCGGATAATAAAACCAAATAAAACAATTTAAAAAAAACTATCTATAGGTTAGATGATTACCTTAAGGTCGATAGATATCGCCGTCAGTCCTTACTGCTGTTAACACTTTCTCTGACAAGTTTGTTCATGTGACATTCGGCATTGATCTTCATTTTCATGAACTGAGATCTTTAATTCTACCATCCAATAATAAAAATATGCTTTGGTATTTTTGATATGAAACAAAGTCTGAACTTTCAAATATCGCTGTAGCTCCTCAGTTCAGTTTAAATATTTATATGAAACTCAGTTTTTATTTGAGTGTTCAATATTAAATCTGATCAATTAATAGATTATTATTTCAATTACTAGATTATTATTTCAATTTCGGTTTTCAGCTAAATTAAAACTTTAAATTTGGTTTCGGTGCATCACTACAAATGAAAGCCTATGGGAAACCTAACAACCAAATTAGAAGTGCACTGAAATCACAAGCAATACAATTTACAGTATAATGCTGATTCATTCTAAATCCCCAGTTAAATTATTGCAAATGTATTTGAGAATCCGGCACTTTGTGGATCTAGCTTTTATGTTGATAAAGGCAGAAATGGCTGTCAACTGGATGCTATTAACGATGTTATAACATCAAAGTTTGATGAGGTCTTGTCATCCTTCTCTTTTAGGGCTGTTTCCCTGCACACTACTCTCTGGATGAGCAGGGCCAGGACCGTCTCTCGTGTCTCGACATCAATCATACTCACTTCCTTCTGGTGGATGATGGCACTCATGGACATTATGGAACTGAGATTGAGCTGCGGACCAATCTGGAGGGACTTATCTCTCAACAATCACTGGGAAACAGAGGTGCAGCTTCATTAGATTACACATAATTTAATATCATAATTCAAATATTATTTGGTTTTTGCAATCACAGTAGTAATTACATGGCACATAATGGAATATAGATCAAATATCGGAGTCGGTATGATTTGTTTAATGTTTTTGAAAATTCTGTATCAAATTTATAGGCAAGACAAGTAGTTTGTTTAGGCATGGTTTGTAGGGAATTACAAACCTACGCACATATATTCAAACGCACATAACTATAGAATAAATCCTTAATGAGCATTTGAACGCCATCAGCGTTTATCACAGGTTCAGTTTAAAGTCTGTTTAGAGAGAACGGTGTCGTCTTAGCGGCCCCTAATTTAATAACAAATGATCATTTCGACGGAAGCGAATCATTCAAAACTAACTTTAGCTGGAAAATAACATTATTCAAGAACCGCTATAAAACCAAGCCAATCTCTGTTACCTTAAATTATATGTTTATCTCTGTAAAGCTGCTTTACAGAAACAATCTACATTGTTGAAAGCGCTATATAAATGAGGATGTGGTCATACTTCCTTGTTCTGGTAAGAACTCGAGCTGCTGCGTTTTGAACTAGCTGTAGTTTGTTTATTATGCATGCAGGGCAACCACCCAGTAGAGCATTACAATAATCTAGCCTTGAGGTCATGAACGCATGAACTAATTGTTCCGCATTTGTTCCGCATAGATATATTTTTAAGATGGAAAAATGCGGTTTTACAGATACTAGACACGTGACTTTCAAATGAAAGATTGGTATCAAAGAGCACACCCAGGTTCCTAACCGACGACGAAGACTTGACAGAGCAGCCATTAAGTGTTAGACAGTATTCTGGGTTATTACGTGTGGAAGTTTTTTGTCCAATAATTAGAATCTCTGTCTTTTCAGAATTTAGTAGTAGGAAATTACTAGTCATCCAATTTTTTATATCGGCTATGCATTCCGTTAATTTTGTGAATTGGTAAGTTTCGTTAGGTTTTGAAGAAATATACAGCTGAGTTTAGTGTTTTGTTCTTCCCTTATTTAAAAATATTGAAACAAAATCAAATATTGTTCTTATATTTTGATGGTTTAATTGAACTTGTAGGGTTATTAAAACAAATATCCCCTTCGGACGTCACTTTTAGCCACTAATGTATCTTGTTTTAAGAATATTTACATATTTGTAATGGAAAACATAACAAAAATACAAGTAAGAAAATAATTTTTGCAGTGTAACACAGATGATCTCAAAATTATGAATAAAAGCCACACCATTTTGATTTCTTTGCTCTTTAACACTGTTCACTGATCACTTTTGATTATTTCTGAAGTGTTTTGCCTGTTTATAAGTGTTGTCTTTCCATCAGAGAGTGGCGTGAAGATACCGGTGGTCTGTGTGGTCTTGAATGGTGGTCCAGGAACTCTAGACGTGAGATTTTAAAGTCATCAGTTTCGTAGATCATCATACAGTAGCTGAATGTTCTTTCATTAATCCAAATACTCATATTTATTCACAGACGATCTACAATTCAATGATGAACAACACGCCGTGTGTCGTGCTTGAGGGATCTGGACGCCTGGCTGATGTCATTGCTCAGGTGGCGGCCCTGCCGGTGTCAAAGGTCACTCTGGTCCTTATCAGGAAGCTCTTGAAGAGGTTTTTTGGAAAAGAGTACAAAAGCTTTACTGATCTGCAGGTCAATGAGTGGACCAAGAAGGTAATGGACAAAAACATACATGCATACAGGGCTTGACATTAACTTTTTTGCTCACTAGCCAATGTGGCTAGTGGTTTTCCAAAGTTACTAGCCACACAGCATTTTTACTAGCCACATTTTTGTTGTTGTGAAATTACCTGATTAAAGTTGACTATGGCGTGCTAAAATTTACTTGAACTAGATTTACAACCCTTTTAAATGTAAAACCACTGTACACACGCAAATCAAGACTAGGTATAACAATACAGGTCATTATCATTAGCTCTGATAAGGTTGTGTGTAAAGCTCCTTTAAAACCATGTATTAAGATGAAGACATAGCTTCTTATTGCATAATAAAAGTGGTGCATGGATGTAGAAGATTAATAAAAAAATATAAAAAACTAAACTGAAAAAACCTTTAGCATTAGAAACACTGTCTGTTTAAATATCAGAATCAGAATTACTTTATTGAGCCCCGATGGGAAATTCGTTGTTACAAGTTGCGTTTTCTGTGTCTTTGCACAGCAGAAACGTGTCTGACTGGTGTCTGCTGGTAACGTACATGGAGGGCTATCTCGGGATTCGGGCGTTGCAGCATAGACGGCAAAATAGGCTATAAGAATATTTCGTTCTGTATTGACAGGTGCAATATTTGATTTTTTTTAAATTATATCTGCATTTGCCAAAACCTATGGACTTTCAAACATAAAAATGCCATTTATTAATATGTGTTCGTGTCAACATGACATATTTTCCTATTCTATTTAGCCTGGAAACGCTTCCAACAGGCTTGCGTGTCGCGTGAGAAATAGGCGTCGGTTTTTTTTCTAGCATGCACGCGTTTTCGGCGCGGCTCGAGACGCGCGTCACGCAGGCAGTGTGCAAGTTCTAACCTGTTAACATGGGAGCCGAAATAAAAACGGACACACCACGCAGCTGAGACGCGCACGCCACGCAGCCAGTGCGCTTCAGATGCCTTTTGAAAAGACTACAATTATTCAACCCGCCAAAGTGGCTAGTTGAAGTGACTGTGTTACCCGCCACGAGCAAAATCCACCCGCATTTGGCGGGTTGGCGGGTGTTAATGTCAAGCCCTGCATGCATATTATGACTTTTTCACACAAACGCAAAATTACACAGTAGGAATCGAGAAATTGTTCTTATTTAGAACTTGTCCTGTGACAAAGTTTGGTGTTAATAAGATTTTTTTATGTTTTTGAAAGAAGTCTCTTCTGTTCACCAAGGCTGCATTTATTTGATTAAAAATCTAATATTGTAAAATATTTTTATAATTTAAAATAACTGTTTTCTATGTGAAATGATTTAAAATGTTATTTATGCCCGTGATCAAAGCTGATTTTTCATATATTTTGTGGAAACTGTGATACTTTTTTTCAGTATTATTTGATGATGATGAATATAAAGTAACAAACAACAGCATTTACTTGAAATATAATCTTTTGTAACGTTATAAATGTCTTTACAGTCACTTTTAATCAGTTTAATGTATCCATGCTGAGTAAAAATATTAATTTCTTAAAAAAATATTTTCTGACCGCTACACTAACACATAACACACACTTATTCACTAACATATGACGCACCCTCATTGCAACCGCTTCACAAACATGTAACACACACTCATTTTTACTACTTCACTAACACGTAACACTCACTCATTGCGTCCGCTTCACTAACACGTAACACACTCTCATTGCAACCGCTTCACTAACACGTAACACACACTCATTGCGTCCTCTTCACTAACACGTAACACACTCTCATTGCAACCGCTTCACTAACACGTAACACACACTCATTGCAACCGCTTCACTAACACGTAACACACACTCATTGCAACCGCTTCACGTAACACACACTCATTGCAACCGCTTCACGTAACACACACTCATTGCGTCCGCTTCACTAACACGTAACACACACTCATTGCGTCCTCTTCACTAACACGTAACACACTCTCATTGCGCCCGCTTCACTAACACGTAACACACACTCATTGCAACCGCTTCACTAACACGTAACACACACTCATTGCGTCCTCTTCACTAACACGTAAAACACACTCATTGCGTCCGCTTCACTAACACGTAACACACACTCATTGCAACCGCTTCACTAACACATAACACACTCATTGCGTCCGCTTCACTTACACGTAACGCACACTCATTGCGACCGCTTCACGTAACACACACTCATTGGGCCCGCTTCACTAACATGTAACACACACTCATTGCGTCCGCTTCACTAACACGTAACACACACTCATTGCAACCGCTTCACTAACACGTAACACACTCATTGTATCCGCTTCACTAACATGTAACACACACTCATTGCGTCCTCTTCACTAACACGTAACACACACTCATTGCGTCCGCTTCACTAACACGTAACACACACTCATTGTATCCGCTTCACTAACATGTAACACACACTCATTGCGTCCTCTTCACTAACACGTAACACACACTCATTGCGTCCGCTACACTAACCTGTAACACACTCATTGTGTCCGCTTCACTAACACGTAACACACACTCATTGTGTCCGCTTCACTAACACGTAAAACACACTCATTGTGTCCGCTTCACTAACACGTAAAACACACTCATTGTGTCCGCTTCACTAACACGTAAAACACACTCATTGTGTCCGCTTCACTAACACGTAAAACACACTCATTGTGTCCGCTTCACTAACACGTAAAACACACTCATTGTGTCCGCTTCACTAACACGTAAAACACACTCATTGCAACCATCAACTAACTATGATATTTTAAATGTGTCAATCAAGATTTGACTTTGCGAAACAGACTGTCTTAAATGAAATTTTTGTTATAATATCCTAATATTAAAGCTAGAAATCCTAAGCCGTGGTGCGGGCCCTGTGTATACAGTATATGTGTATACAGTATATACTGTATATGTATATAGTACATGAAATATAAGTGATCTAGACTAGAAGGTGTATTTATTTTTGAATTTCTTTAGATTCAGGACATTATCCGGATGCCTCGTCTGCTGACTGTGTTTCGTATTGACGAGGATAAAAACTATGATGTTGACGTTGCTATTCTACAGGCTCTGCTAAAAGGTATGATCACTTTAGGCAGAACATGCTCACATCCCTCCATTTCTTAATCTGGAAACTGAAGACTTAAATTCACATTTCCAGGCAGAGGGTAATTGGATTATGCTGGTGATGATGGTACTAATGGATACACGGTTGCGAGTGGATCTTTAGCTGTAATATTGACAGCTAAGACTGACTTGAGCACATTTATCCTCCCTTGAGAGTCTGGAAACCTCTCTGATTGCGGAAGCTATTAGCGTTTATGTTATATTGATGGATGACGTATCTCTTAAATGCTAAAACGTTTTTTCAACAATGAATATGTGCTCTCACACGCACAGTGCTCACAATCCCGCTTATAGACACAATTGACTTTTCTTTTAATTAGATGCTTGTGACCAACACAGTTCCTCAGTGGATAACAAACAGAGATGTTAGACAGAATTTTTTTTTTTTCATGCTATAAAAGTATAAGGTGACCAGGGGTTGTAGAACGGTTTTTAAAATGTCCGCCCTGTACAAAATTAGAAGATACCATATAAACCATTAATTTTTGTATGATAAATAGCCACATTAAATGATCGTTTGATTCAAGAATGGCCTCATATACTTTCTTTTAGATGAATATGACTAAAGGAAATCCCTAAAGTTAATCGATAGTCCTGCAGCAGTGTTATTTTAGTATTATTTATATACTATTATAGTATATCTTTTAAAATGAGCTTTTATTTTAGTATTTTATTTTATTTTATTTTTTGTTTTAGTAATTTTGTTATGTGCTTTCGTCATGTTTATTAGTTTTTGTTTTTTTAAATATTTCTGTAAAATAAGGCAACACTTCTAATTTAATTTTGTTTTGTTTATTTAATTTTACTTTTTTTATGAACTGCTTGGAGACACAAGGGTTGAAAATCCAAATGCAGTAGTTTATTAGAGGGTAATCCAAAGACATAATCCAAAAAAACAGGCAAAGGTCAAAACAAAAACAGAGTCCAGGGCAGAGGCAAAACAGAGAAATCTTAAGGAACCGGGCAGAAAGTAAAAAATCATGAGAAAGCAAAGCCAGAGCACTCAGAAATGCAGTGTTGACACATACAAGACTTCGCAAAGAGTGACTGAGAGATCAGTGACTTTTAGACCCCATTTACACCTGGTATTAAAATGTGATCTGTATCCAGATAAGTTATCCGGATAATAAAAAACGCATGTTAATGCAAGGTGTAAATACGTTGTGATCGGATTGTGATCGGATCTGCCTGACCACGGAGGTAGTCTGGCTCGCATTGTGTTCGGATCTTTACTAGGTGTAAACGCAATCCGTACGACGTGAAGGCATTCGTACCTGCGAAACGTCATTTTTTTTCTGGAGGACAGAGATCCGAACTCAATGTGGATAACGAGAACGCATTAAAAATACAAGGTGTAAACGCAAAGGTAAGATCAGAACACTTATTATCCGGATAACTCATCTGGATACAGATCTCATTTTAATACCAGGTGTAAATGGGGTCTTATAGTCAGAGGTAATGAGATAATGAGAGACAGCTGAATACAATCAGTGATGATGAGATCAGGCAGTGAGTTCTGGGAAATGTAGTTTGTGAGGGAATGAGTATAGTCTGGGGTGAAGTGCCCTCTGGTTTGCTATCAATCGCACTCCAGCTGGTGATTGTGTTTAGTTAAAACATTTTTATAATATTTTTTTTTATAAATTAGTTAACAATAACAGCACTGCACATTAGGCAACATTTCTCATTTTTAATCAAAGCAACATTTCGTAGTATTATTTAATTTTATTTTATTTTCAGTTACCAAAATATTTTTTGATGGTTTTAGTTTTAGTTGACAATAAACTATAAAACTAAAGATTCTTGACGAGGTCGGGGACTCGTTCAGGAGGAGAAATACAAAAGACAAACTGGAAGAATTGCCAAACCGCTACTGGATAAAGTCAGGTGTTGTTGCTCCTCAGCCTCCAGAAGTGATGAACATGCTGGCCGCCGGTCCTGGGAGAGACAGCTGGAGCTCGCGGTGGCCTGGAACCGGGTCGACATCGCAGAGAGTGAGATCTTCACTGAGGAGAGCCAGTGGACGGTGGGTAAAAATAATGCAAAAAGCTACGAGAATTACAGAAACATTACAAAAAATTAAATAAGTTGATCAACTGGACACATTGAAATAATGTTAATTAAAATGTTCTAAAATGCATCAAGTATGTTCACTGCACAGGTTGTTCCCCTATTATGCTATTTTAAAGTTTCCTCGTTTAGTTTTGGAGTCTCCTGTAGGTTTACATGCATCCAAGGTCAAAAACACTTTCATTTTCTCATAATATACATTGCAGCATCACTTCTTTTCTCACAGTGTCTGAAACGATATGGTTTTGGGAAACAGTCGTGACTAGCTAGTTGATTTCTTCAATCTACTATGGTAGTTAATCAGCTAGTTACGTCGTTGGTCGGGAAACTCACTCTGATTGGTCAGATGACCCAGTCTGGTGTGATTGGTCTACTCTGCTCTGATTGGTCAGATGGCCCAGTCTGTTGTGATTGGTCTACTCTGCTCTGATTGGTCAGATGACCCAGTCTGGTGTGATTGGTCTACTCTGCTCTGATTGGTCAGATGGCCCAGTCTGGTGTGATTGGTCTACTCTGCTCTGATTGGTCAGATGGCCCAGTCTGTTGTGATTGGTCTACTCTGCTCTGATTGGTCAGATGACCCAGTCTGTTGTGATTGGTCTACTCTGCTCTGATTGGTCAGATGACCCAGTCTGTTGTGATTGGTCTACTCTGCTCTGATTGGTCAGATGACCCAGTCTGTTGTGATTGGTCTACTCTGCTCTGATTGGTCAGATGGCCCAGTCTGGTGTGATTGGTCTACTCTGCTCTGATTGGTCAGATGACCCAGTCTGTTGTGATTGGTCTACTCTGCTCTGATTGGTCAGATGACCCAGTCTGTTGTGATTGGTCTTCTCTGCTCTGATTGGTCAGATGGCCCAGTCTGGTGTGATTGGTCTACTCTGCTCTGATTGGTCAGATGACCCAGTCTGTTGTGATTGGTCTACTCTGCTCTGATTGGTCAGACGGCCCAGTCTGTTGTGATTGGTCTACTCTGCTCTGATTGGTCAGACGGCCCAGTCTGTTGTGATTGGTCTACTCTGCTCTGATTGGTCAGACGGCCCAGTCTGTTGTGATTGGTCTACTCTGCTCTGATTGGTCAGACGACCCAGTCTGTTGTGATTGGTCTACTCTGCTCTGATTGGTCAGACGGCCCAGTCTGTTGTGATTGGTCTACTCTGCTCTGATTGGTCAGACGGGCCAGTCTGTTGTGATTGGTCTACTCTGCTCTGATTGGTCAGACGACCCAGTCTGTTGTGATTGGTCTACTCTGCTGTGATTGGTCAGATGGCCCAGTCTGTTGGGATTGGTCTACTCTGCTCTGATTGGTCAGATGGCCCAGTCTGGTGTGATTGGTCTACTCTGCTCTGATTGGTCAGATGGCCCAGTCTGGTGTGATTGGTCTACTCTGCTCTGATTGGTCAGATGGCCCAGTCTGTTGTGATTGGTCTACTCTGCTCTGATTGGTCAGATGGCCCAGTCTGGTGTGATTGGTCTACTCTGCTCTGATTGGTCAGATGGCCCAGTCTGGTGTGATTGGTCTACTCTGCTCTGATTGGTCAGATGGCCCAGTCTGTTGTGATTGGTCTACTCTGCTCTGATTGGTCAGATGGCCCAGTCTGGTGTGATTGGTCTACTCTGCTCTGATTGGTCAGATGGCCCAGTCTGGTGTGATTGGTCTACTCTGCTCTGATTGGTCAGATGACCCAGTCTGTTGTGATTGGTCTACTCTGCTCTGATTGGTCAGATGGCCCAGTCTGTTGTGATTGGTCTACTCTGCTCTGATTGGTCAGATGGCCCAGTCTATTGTGATTGGTCTACTCTGCTCTGATTGGTCAGATGGACCAGTCAGGTGTGATTGGTCTACTCTGCTCTGATTGGTCAGATGGCCCAGTCTGGTGTGATTGGGTTACTCTGCTTTGATTGGTCAGATGGCCCAGTCTGGTGTGATTGGTCTACTCTGCTCTGATTGGTCAGATGGCCCAGTCTGATGTGATTGGGTTACTCTGCTTTGATTGGTCAGATGGCCCAGTCTATTGTGATTGGTCTACTCTGCTCTGATTGGTCAGACGGCCCAGTCTGGTGTGATTGGTCTACTCTGCTCTGATTGGTCAGATGGCCCAGTCTGTTGTGATTGGTCTACTCTGCTCTGATTGGTCAGATGGCCCAGTCTATTGTGATTGGTCTACTCTGCTCTGATTGGTCAGATGGCCCAGTCTATTGTGATTGGTCTACTCTGCTCTGATTGGTCAGACGGCCCAGTCTGGTGTGATTGGTCTAGTCTGCTCTGATTGGTCAGATGTCCCAGTCTGGTGTGATTCGTCTTCTCTGCTCTGATTGGTCAGATGGCTCAGTCTGTTGTGATTGGTCTACTCTGCTCTGATTGGTCAGACGGCCCAGTCTGTTGTGATTGGTCTACTCTGCTCTGATTGGTCAGACGGCCCAGTCTGTTGTGATTGGTCTACTCTGCTCTGATTGGTCAGATGGCCCAGTCTGGTGTGATTGGTCTACTCTGCTCTGATTGGTCAGATGGCCCAGTCTGGTGTGATTGGGTTACTCTGCTTTGATTGGTCAGATGGCCCAGTCTGTTGTGATTGGTCTACTCTGCTCTGATTGGTCAGATGGCCCAGTCTGTTGTGATTGGTTGGCCGCTTACAGCAAGTGTTGGAAACAACAGCCATTAGCATGTCTGAATTTCTCCTCCGGATCTTCCTCACCATTGATACACAGTGATACGAACAGTAATGTTAGCGTCGGTTTTACCTTATCAATTCCAGCGTGAGTCCTCATACTTTTGAAGTGCATGCAATGAAGACAGACTCTTCTCGATATATCAACAACACAAACACAAAGTCAAAGTAGACGTTGTTTGCGGGCAGCCAATGAAGACCATAGGCTGGCATTATGCAAATTTCTTACAAACATAAGTAGGTTCAGCTGGAAGTGAAACTGTTATTACTGATGACTCGTTTAAGGCAGTTCAGAACCGATTCTTTCTTTCAGGAGACCAAAACTCCATTTACCTTTCATCTTTGAAAATTTGCAGACATTTTACATTCAAAGAGCTATATTACACACTACATATCCAAAAAAGCATAATAGGGGCACTTCAACGTCTTTTCACTTGTTATTTGGTCAGGGGTTCACAAACTTTTGCATGCAACTCATTATTTAAAGAAAAACTATGTTCATATAGTGCCTGTGGGAGTATTATTGAATGTTTATTATGTTGGGTTTGTCATGATTTGTTGATATCTTTCCCGTCTCAGTCCTGTGATCTGCATCCGGCCATGTTTTCTGCACTGGTGGGTGACAAACCTGAGTTTGTGCGGCTGTTGCTGGAGAATGGAGTGTGTCTGCGTACGTTTCTGGAAGAAAAGGAGACCCTCTGTAAGCTCTACGCACACCTACCCGCCTGCTTCTTCCTGCGCAAGCTTGCAAAACGGGCCCAGGGTGTCAAAAACATTTCCTTGAGGCACGTGTCTGAAGAAGTGCGCCACTTGCTGGGAAGTTTTACTCAACCGTTATACGTCCCTTCACGCTACAAGAAAACCAAAGATGATGTCCGTTTAACGGCAAGTTTGAGACATAAAACTCCTCAGCAACAAGAACAGGGGGGGAAGTACAGTGTTATTTTTATATTTGTTTATTTATATACTATTATAGTATGTATCAATTCTTATTTTTATTTTTTCAGTTTTAATTTTTAAAAAATTTTTAATGTAATTTTGACATTTTTATCAGCTTTTTTATATTTCTATTTAGCTTTCATTTACATTTATTCAGTTTTAGTTTTTGTCATTTTAGTACCGGTACTTCAACTTATTCGACTTATTTTTTAATTCATAATGAGAAGAAAAGGGTTATTAATTGGCATGGAAATATTGTCACAATACAAACAATCTCAAAGATCCTACGGTAGGTTTTTTTTCTTTATACAAAATATAATTTAATATTACTTAAAGACCCACTCCGATGAAAACAATGTTTTTCTAGGTGTTAACATGTTCTTGTGGCATTTTTCTGATGTTAGAGGACATATCTTGAGAAAAATCAGCTCAAAGTTGTATTTCTGAGTATTTCTACATTCAAATGGCTGTGAATCAGTAGCAGACGCTAAAATGCCGGCTAAAATCGACTGGAGTTGTGACGTAGTAACTCCACTGGGCGTCTCCACACGCGACGTCTTGGAGTGAAATAATGATCGGTGATCGGTGATAACTTTGATTAACTTCGGATAATAATAATTAACGTGTATATAATACTGTTGCCCCACCGGTATTGGAGGTGTAAGCTAGCGGGAGAGACAGAGCTCTCAGCAACGGGCAGGGGGAGGGTCGTCTCCGTGCCAACGGCTCCGCCCACAACGCAGAGGCGAATTGCTAATGAGCTACTGCCGCTCTGCTGAAGCAAGGTCCCAGAAAACGGCACAGGTTTTGTGATTTTGGCTAAAAATGGCATAATCATAATTTAAAGACCACTGGGAATGTTTAAAAATAGCTCAAAATATGATCGGAGTGGGACTTTAATGACAAGTTTAAGACAGAAAACACCTCAGCAACAAGGGCAGGGGAAAAGAGTGCCATGACATATACATGCTAATACATTTAAATAATATAATTTTATTCAGCACAGTACAGTGTTATTTTATTATTATATAGTATGTATCAATATTCTTATTTTTTTCAGTTTTCATTTTAATTTTAGTTGGAAAATGTCATTTTTTTAAATGTAATTTTGTTTTTAACTTTATATATATATATATATATATATATATATATATATATATATATATTTATATTTACCTTTAATACATATTTATTTATTTATATATTTCTTATATTTATATTTACCTTTAATTTATATGTATAAAGTTTTTGTAATTTTAGTACTTCAACCTATACTTATTTTTTAATTGATAATGATAAGAAAAGGCTTATTAATTGGCGTCGAAATATTGTCACAATGCAAGCAAAATACAAAATATAATTTAATACTCATTTTCTAGGTAAAAAATTACCTGGGCATGTTTTTGATATGCTTTGTGAGAATCATCAGTAAATAAAATCATCAGATGAACGAAAGTCTTACGGGGAACAACATGAGGGAGAGTAATTACTGACAGAGTTTTCATTTTGGGGTGAACTATCCCTTTAAAGGTGCCCTAGAATGTTTTTTTTAATTATTTTATAATGTTTCCTGGGTTGCCCTTATAATGTTAGTATGTTTTTTAGATAATATCTCAAAGATCCTACGGTAGGCTTTTTTTCTTTATACGAAATATAATTTAATATTACTTAAATGGCAAGTTTAAGACAGAAAACACCTCAGCAATAAGGGCAGGGGAAAAGAGTGCCATGACATATACATGCTAATAAACTTAAATAATATAATTTTATTCAGCACAGTACAGTGTTATTTTAGTATGATGTATATACTATTATAGTATGTATCAATATTCTTATTTTTTTCAGTTTTCATTTGAATTTTAGTTGGAAAATTTCATTTTTTAATGTCATTTTGTTTTTAACTTTATATATATATATATATATATACCTTTAATACTTATTTATTTATTTATTATATTTATATTTACCTTTAATTTATATTTATAAAGTTTTTGTAATTTTAGTACTTCAACCTATACTTATTTTTTAATTGATAATGATAAGAAAAGGGTTATTAATTGGCGTCGAAATATTGTCACAATGCAAAAAAAATACAAAATATAATTTAATACTCATTTTCTAGGTAAAAAAATGACCTGGGCATGTTTTTGATATGCTTTGTGAGAATCATCAGTAAATAAAATCATCAAACTGTAATGCATTAAAGGGATAGTTCACCCCAAAATTAAAATTCTGTCAGTAATTACAAATTAAGATATTTTTGATTAAATCTGAGAGCTGGATCACTCCTCCATAGGCTTCTAAGGGATCGAAACTTGCCGGCCCAGAAAAGTTAAAGACAGGTTAAAAGAAATGAATAGTTGAATAAAGTCGTTACTTTTGTTTGTTTTTTGTGCACAAAAAGTATTCTCGTCGCTTGATAAACTTAAGGTTGAGCCGCTGTAGTCACTCGGACTATTTTAAATATTGTCTTTACTAATTTTCTGGGCCGGCAAGTTTCGATCCCTTAAGAAGCCTATGGAGGAGTGATCCAGCTCTCAGATTTAATCAAAAATATCTTAATTTGTGTTCCGAAGATGAACGAAAGTCTTACGGGGAACAACATGAGGGCGAGTAATTACTGACACAGTTTTCATTTTGGGGTGAACTATCCCTTCGAAATATTGTCACAATGCAAAAAAAAAATACAAAATATAAATTAATACTCATTTTCTAGGTAAAAAATGACCTGGGCATGTTTTTTATATGCTTTGTGAGAATCATCAGTAAATAAAATGATCAAACTATAACGCTTTAATTCTAGTTTGGCTGTAATGAAAAGAGTCTGGCTGTTTTATTCATTGAAGCGCTGCATCTCTCAGGTGCCGTCCAAAGACCCGCTGGATCTGCCGTGTTCTGGTGAAGACCCGACCGCACTCACGTTTTGGGACCCGGGACGGGATCTCTTCCTCTGGGCTGTTGTACAGAATAACCGAGAGCTGGCAGAGATCGGCTGGGAGCAGGTACAGCACTGACTAGAGACAAACTCTCGGCATGAGCTTTATATTCACATGTTTTCTGCTTCAATTTGGTGATAGAAGCTGATATTTTGCTGAAGCTGATCTTAAATTTGTAAATGTTTGGAGGGAGTAACTAAATAAAATGAGTACTTTACTCTTTGGGAAACCTTTATTATTTTTTATTATTTATTAAAATTTTAAAAGAGCTTTTTATTTTCATATTTTCTTTCCATTTTAGTTTTCGTAATTTTGTAATGTGCTTTTGTCATGTTTATTCATTTTAGTTTTTTATATTTCTAATATTGCTTATATTTTTGATTTCTATTCTTAGATTTATTTTTATTTTATTTTTAGTCATATTAATTCTTATACTTATTTCAGTTTCTTTTTAATCAAGGACATTTCTAAGGATTTCATCTAATAATTGTAGTTTATTCTAGTAATTAATATTATTTGTTTATTTATTTTTTAACTTGGTTCTGATGAATCAGCATAGTTGCCTCTGACATATGAAGTGTTTTCCATTAATTTCAGTGAATCAGCTCATTCGGTTAATTAAACTGGATAAAAAAATAATCCACTGATTTATTTGAGAACCAGTGTGGAATATAGGGATGCACCGAATCCAGGATTCGGATTCGGCCGAATATTGGGCTTTTTAACGGGGTTCGGTTTCTGCCGAACCTCAGAATTTTTTTCCACCGAACCGAACCCTAGGCTTGCACTACGCGCGCTACGTCGAAGTCACCGATCAGTGAATGACATCAAAGTACCGCGTGAACGAATAGAGAGCAGACGGCTCCTTATGCTTTTGAATTGCTCTCGCGGGACTTTGATGTCATAAACTCATCTGTCTATGCAGCGCCGGTTCAAGTCGAACAAGTAGTTATTGCAGAGGCCAGACAGACTCACGGAGGCGATTGGCATCTCACAACTCGCACTTTATTCCACAATCGAACTTGTGTAACTGTCTGTCACACGTTCTACCGTCCACAGCGTTACTTAACAAAATAAGGTAAAAATGAGCATCAAACAGAAATAACCCGCATACATGGGCATGTGTTCGAGGCGCACGACACATACGGCGCGCAGTTCTTAAAGGGGACACACCTTATTTCCACTCGCTACAGTAGGTGGACCGTTCGAATGCAGTAGGCTGTGAGAAAGTGAAAATGGAACTCGTGAGCAGAAAAAGTGTTGTTTGGCAGTACTTTCAGTGAAAGAAGGCAATTCAAGTCGAGCTACATGTTCAATTTGCAATGCCGATTTGTCTCATGGTGGCAAGGAGTCAAGGACTCTAAATAGGCTACACAACATCGCCGCTGTTAAAATGCATATAATGTTGCTTTTTTTTTTTTTTTTTTTTTTTTTTTTTTTTTACAGTTATAAAAGTAAAAGTAGTGTTTATTATTTACAGTAATAAAATGAAAAATCCACTTTGTTTACTTCATTAATGTGTTTACTGTGTTAATGGACTGAGGATGAGAGTAGGATTCGGTATTCGGTTTCGGATTCGGCAGAATCTTAACCAGTGGATTCGGTATTCGGCCGAACCCCACAAATCTGGATTCGGTGCATCCCTAATATAAAGTGAATATTTTGTTATTTATACAATTATATTTTAGGTTTTTAAGTGTCCAATAACCAAAACACAACCAATTTTGAATTGTTTTATTTGTGTTTTTTGACACAAAAGTACATAATCTTTAGACTATGAAAGAACAATTCAAACTAAATTATATAATATATAATAATTATTACCATTCATTGTTATTCCTCTTTGACCATTCATTTTATTGAATCATTTGTTTAGTATTTTGTTAAAGGTTTTCTGTTCATGTTCATTATATCAATGAGAGTGTTTTCTATTTTTATTGGTTGTAGTTTGCATAAATGTATTCATTCAAATGTTGTTTTGTGACAGGTAAATACTGATCTGATTGCATGAATAAATCAGATAATCTGATTCTGTATTTAAATAGCATTAGAGTAGTTGCAGTTTGAAGATTCACAAATGTGTGTGTGTGTGTGTGTGTGTGTGTGTGTGTGTGTTGTTGTTTTTGTAGTGCAGAGACTGTATCGCAGCCGCTCTGGCCGCCAGTAAGATCTTGAGGAAACTGGCGCAGGAGAGCGGCGAGGATGATAACGAAGAGGCAAAAGAAATGAGAGAACTGGCCAACCACTATGAGAAACAAGCCATCGGTATGATTTCAGATTCATTCTTTATTGTCCTTTACAGATTAGTTCACCTCAAAATGAAAATTACCTAATAATTTATAATACTCACCCCAATCCCATCCAAGATATCCATGCCTTTCTTTCCTCAGTGGAAGAGAAAATAAATTTTTTGAGGAAAACATTTCTGGATTTTTCCAGAATTAATTATCAGGAAATTTTCATTTTGAGGTGAACTAATCCTTTAATAGAGGAAATTTGTTTTAACAGACTGTACCAGGAGCAACATGTGTTATACCACCCAGAATACACTTATTTTGTACACACAAATAGACATATTACACACTTCAAATCCTTTGACCTGAGCCGTGATGTTTAACTCTGTGTGTGTGACCTCGGGTGTCTTGTGTGTGTGACCTCAGGTGTCTTGTGTGTGTGACCTCAGGTGTCTTGTGTGTGTGACCTCAGGTGTCTTGTGTGTGTGACCTCAGGTGTCTTGTGTGTGTGACCTCAGGTGTCTTGTGTGTGTGACCTCGGGTGTCTTGTGTGTGTGACCTCGGGTGTATTGTGTGTGTGACCTCGGGTGTATTGTGTGTGTGACCTCAGGTGTCTTGTGTGTGTGACCTCGGGTGTCTTGTGTGTGTGACCTCGGGTGTATTGTGTGTGTGACCTCGGGTGTATTGTGTGTGTGACCTCGGGTGTATTGTGTGTGTGACCTCGGGCGTCTTGTGTGTGTGACCTCGGGTGTCTTGTGTGTGTGACCTCAGGTGTCTTGTGTGTGTGACCTCAGGTGTCTTGTGTGTGTGACCTCAGGTGTCTTGTGTGTGTGACCTCAGGTGTCTTGTGTGTGTGACCTCAGGTGTCTTGTGTGTGTGACCTCCGGTGTCTTGTGTGTGTGACCTCAGTGTCTTGTGTGTGTGACCTCAGTGTCTTGTGTGTGTGACCTCAGGTGTCTTGTGTGTGTGACCTCAGGTGTCTTGTGTGTGTGACCTCAGGTGTCTTGTGTGTGTGACCTCAGGTGTCTTGTGTGTGTGACCTCAGGTGTCTTGTGTGTGTGACCTCGGGTGTCTTGTGTGTGTGACCTCGGGTGTATTGTGTGTGTGACCTCGGGTGTCTTGTGTGTGTGACCTCGGGTGTCTTGTGTGTGTGACCTCGGGTGTCTTGTGTGTGTGACCTCAGGTGTCTTGTGTGTGTGACCTCGGGTGTCTTGTGTGTGTGACCTCGGGTGTCTTGTGTGTGTGACCTCGGGTGTCTTGTGTGTGTGACCTCAGGTGTCTTGTGTGTGTGTGACCTCGGGTGTCTTGTGTGTGTGACCTCAGGTGTCTTGTGTGTGTGACCTCAGGTGTCTTGTGTGTGTGTGTGACCTCAGGTGTCTTGTGTGTGTGACCTCGGGTGTCTTGTGTGTGTGACCTCAGGTGTCTTGTGTGTGTGACCTCAGGTGTCTTGTGTGTGTGACCTCAGGTGTCTTGTGTGTGTGACCTCAGGTGTCTTGTGTGTGTGACCTCAGGTGTCTTGTGTGTGTGACCTCGGGTGTCTTGTGTGTGTGACCTCGGGTGTCTTGTGTGTATGACCTCGGGTGTCTTGTGTGTGTGACCTCAGGTGTCTTGTGTGTGTGACCTCAGGTGTCTTGTGTGTGTGACCTCAGGTGTCTTGTGTGTGTGACCTCGGGTGTCTTGTGTGTGTGACCTCGGGTGTCTTGTGTGTGTGACCTCAGGTGTCTTGTGTGTGTGACCTCAGGTGTCTTGTGTGTGTGACCTCGGGTGTCTTGTGTGTGTGACCTCGGGTGTCTTGTGTGTGTGACCTCGGGTGTCTTGTGTGTGTGACCTCAGGTGTCTTGTGTGTGTGACCTCGGGCGTCTTGTGTGTGTGACCTCGGGTGTCTTGTGTGTGTGACCTCAGGTGTCTTGTGTGTGTGACCTCAGGTGTCTTGTGTGTGTGTGACCTCAGGTGTCTTGTGTGTGTGACCTCAGGTGTCTTGTGTGTGTGACCTCAGGTGTCTTGTGTGTGTGACCTCAGGTGTCTTGTGTGTGTGACCTCTGGTGTCTTGTGTGTGTGACCTCGGGTGTCTTGTGTGTGTGACCTCAGGTGTCTTGTGTGTGTGACCTCAGGTGTCTTGTGTGTGTGACCTCGGGTGTCTTGTGTGTGTGACCTCAGGTGTCTTGTGTGTGTGACCTCAGGTGTCTTGTGTGTGTGACCTCAGATGTCTTGTGTGTGTGACCTCGGGTGTCTTGTGTGTGTGACCTCGGGTGTCTTGTGTGTGTGACCTCAGGTGTCTTGTGTGTGTGACCTCAGGTGTCTTGTGTGTGTGTGACCTCAGGTGTCTTGTGTGTGTGACCTCAGGTGTCTTGTGTGTGTGACCTCGGGTGTCTTGTGTGTGTGACCTCGGGTGTCTTGTGTGTGTGACCTCGGGTGTCTTGTGTGTGTGACCTCGGGTGTCTTGTGTGTGTGACCTCAGGTGTCTTGTGTGTGTGACCTCAGGTGTCTTGTGTGTGTGACCTCGGGTGTCTTGTGTGTGTGACCTCAGGTGTCTTGTGTGTGTGACCTCAGGTGTCTTGTGTGTGTGACCTCAGGTGTCTTGTGTGTGTGACCTCAGGTGTCTTGTGTGTGTGACCTCAGGTGTCTTCAGTGAGTGTCACAGCTGGGACGCCCAGCGAGCGCAGAGACTCCTGATCCGCATCTCTCCGTTGTGGGGCAAAAGCACATGTCTGTGGCTCGCTCTCGAGGCCGATGATAAAAGCTTCGTCGCTCACTCCGGAGTGCAGGTGAACAAACCCAGCGGCATATTCACAGATATCTGTGGCTTATCTGTCTTAGCTTATTTTACTCGGAAAGGAGAAAGTACTTCAACATTGAAAAAAATTCACCTTGAATATACAACATTTAATGACTGATATCTATTTTTTTTTTTTTAGTGTTCAATAACCAATATGCAGATTTTTTTGGTTGTTTTATTTCTGTTTTTTGACACAACAAATAATTTTTATAACCTTTAAAGAACAGTTATTTATTTTGAATATTACATAAAGAAATTATTATTATTATATTGCATAGATTAACAATAATTTGTACAACAATAATAATAACCATTGTTATCTTATTTTTTTTTTCTTTTTCTAAAGGAATTATTTAATATTATACGCATTGTTATTTAAGCAGTTATGTATTATAAAAAAATTGTGCTGTGGTCCTAATGGTTGCAAATTATTGTTATAATTGTTATTAAATATTACATACAAATAATATAATATATTGCACAGATAACAAAAGGATAATTTGTACAACAACAACGATAATAATAACTCTTATTGTTATTAATATTATACAAGTTTTAGTTTTTATTATTTATGCAATTATGTTTATATATTGTTTTGTGGTCTTAATGGTTGCAAATTATTAGTATTAGTATTATAAAAATGTTTTTTTCTGTTATATTTTATATTATCATATTACATTTATATAACTGTCACAGAGTCAGCCACACCTCACAATCATCACCCAATCGTCCACTCGTACACAATCCCCAGATTACTGACTCGCTGCACCATCACAGAGAACACTATAACACCTGTCTGTCTCCTGTGTTGTGACAATAACAATAAAAAGTTGTTTTATGATTGCAAATATATGTCATGTCTATTAGTCAAGCTTAAAGCTTCAGTCCGCAGTTTTTCCTCTTTGTCGCCATCTCTGTTCGAAATCTGCAATTGCAGTCATTCGCGGAATTATCAACTTTACGTGAGTTGTGCTTCGGCGCGGCACAGCGCGGATGAATGTTTAAAGGGGTCATATAATGCCATTTTTGTACAAGCTAATATGATTCTTTAGGGTCTAAATTAAAACTTTGTAATATACTTTAATTAAAAATTCTCATTAGTATTGTAAGAAAACACTTATTTTACCTGGTCAAAAACAGCTCTGTTTTCAGCACGCCGTTTCAGTGCATATGACTTTAAATGATAATGAGCTTTGCTCACCCCGCCTCTCTGTTCTGTGCGTACACCGTTTGTAACACAATAACACAATAACCATAACGCGTTGTTCAGTATAAACGTGGGATTATGAATTATATTGAGAATATCATACATAGAAAACATGCCGTAATGTACCCTGAGTGTAAACCTTAGACGCATTCATTGTGAAGCGTGCAGCTAGCGATTTGCAAAGATATAAAGATTAATATAAAGGTTAATAAAACGTTACACTCACTTCAGTTCTTCTGGAGATTCAGCAGGAACACGAATATCTGGAACCGATCCTTTATTCATGGCAGCTTCTTCCTTTATTCGAGCAGCTTCTTAGCAAATCCAGCTTTATACTGACCCTCGTTTATAAAGCAGTCTGGTGTGAGAAATGATTCGCGCAAACATGAGAGCATTGACGTTGCTCGTGGGGAATATTCCCTTCGAAAACAAACTCAGCCACTGCGTCTTCAGCGGTTCGGATTTAGGAACATTAAAATGACTGTGTTCGTTATTACACCCAAGAACAGAACACCACAATCGCTTAGACGCCATTCTGCTCATAGACAGCGCTCCAGCATATCAACAATGACCGCGCCGGTCCGCGCAGACTATGATTGACAGCTCTCACGAGCGAGGGCGGGTCTGTGTTGAAACACTGCTGTCAATCAACAATCGTGGGAGGGGCTTCCGTTTTATTGACGTCACAAAAACGAACGGCTCGATTTGAGGCAGGGGAAAACATATAAGGAGATTAAAACAAAAACACTGGATGGATTTTTATCATTATATGATGGTTGTGTACAGGCACTGCCAACACACATTTCAGTACAATCAACTTGTAAAAGTGCATGTACCATTATATGACCCCTTTAAGGAGAGTGTGTGTCTGTCAGTCCCCGCCGGTGTGGATACTGGCATTCAGAATCACAGATTATTCTTTTTGGAAGTATGACCAACATAATAATTTTCACCGGAAAATGTACTCTGAACAAGTGAGTAACATCCACTTTTGTTCTGGTTCTGACATTGTAGTAAATCGCGCTGATTAAATCTAACAATCTCTTATCATATCACGAAAAACCGTGCAAATTATACTTTGTTCTCAAATTGTTAATGTTAACAACGTCAGCATTGCGTGACTACATGTAATGCCCTTCCGATATTATCCTTGTCTTCGCATGGGTCCGGTTGCAGTCTCTTTTTTTCTGTAGCCACTCCGAAGTCTGAACGAAGTCTTTAGCATTTTACAGCGGGTGAATCTGTTGTCGCTGGTGATCGTCGTTTGAACCTTTCTGGATCCGCCATCAAACTGATAAGTTTAATTATATCAAGTGCTGTGAGAAAAGGCTATAAATCTCCACCTCCAGCATCCTCACACGCAATATAGCTTATACTAGCCGAGACTCTTCTTTATGTGTACAGATGTGTGTGTGCAGATGTGTGTGTGCAGATGTGTGTGTGCAGATGTGTGTGTACAGATGTGTGTGTACAGATGTGTGTGTACAGATGTGTGTGTACAGATGTGTGTGTACAGATGTGTGTGTTCAGATGTGTGTGTTCAGATGTGTGTGTTCAGATGTGTGTGTTCAGATGTGTGTGTGCAGATGTGTGTGTACAGATGTGTGTGTACAGATGTGTGTGTACAGATGTGTGTGTACAGATGTGTTTGGACAGATGTGTGTGTTCAGATGTGTGTGTTCAGATGTGTGTGTACAGATGTGTTTGGACAGATGTGTGTGTGCAGATGTGTGTGTACAGATGTGTGTGTGCAGATGTGTGTGTACAGATGTGTTTGGACAGATGTGTGTGTACAGATGTGTGTGTACAGATGTGTTTGGACAGATGTGTGTGTTCAGATGTGTGTACAGATGTGTGTGTTCAGATGTGTGTGTTCAGATGTGTGTGTACAGATGTGTGTGTACAGATGTGACGTAATGACACAAAGACATGCTCGAATCTCCCGCGGGAATCCACCAGTACCACTGGAATTAAAACATTATTACAAGCTTACCGCTTTGAGTCGAGCTACGGCAAGCAGAGAGTTTTGAACACTGGCTGGTTATGTATTTTCTCAAATATGTATTTTGGATCACTTTTAACCCAAAAAAAGCTACAGACTGCAGCTTTAAAATGTTACATGTTTTTCGCATGAGAATGAATGGTTGGGTAAGTAATTAATGTGCAATAAGAGTTACTTTTCCTGTGAAAACTGTTATTTTTGGTGTTATTCAAACCAACTAGCAGTTTATCTATACGGCTGATCAGCGATAGCTCAGGTCTCATCGAGTGTCTCTGTCAGGCCCTGCTCACTCAGATCTGGTTTGGAGAGCTGTCAGTGGAGAATCCACACTGGAAGATTCTCCTGTGCATGATCTTCTTTCCTCTGATATACACCGGCTTCCTGATCTTCAGGTAAAAACTTCCGGTCCCATTTTAAAGGGTCCGTTCACCCCAAAATGAAAACTCTGTCAGTAATTACTCGCCCTCATGTTGTTCCCCGTAAGACTTTCGTTCATCTTCGGGACACAAGTTAAGATATTTTTGATTAAATCTGAGAGCTGGATCACTCCTCCATAGGCTTCTTAAGGAATCGAAACTTGCCGGCCCAGAAAAGTTATGAAAGACATCGTTAAAATAGTCCGAGTGACTACAGTGGCTCAACCTTAAGTTTATCAAGCGACGAGAATACTTTTTGTGCGCAAAAAACAAACAAAAATAACGACTTTATTCAACTATTCATTTCCTTCTCTGTGGGCCTCGAGTGAGTTCACTAGTGTAACAGCGCAGCGCTTCTGGGTTGTTCGACACAGGCAGGCTCACTATTGGCCGACGCTGGTCATGTGTGTGATGCGTGTGACGTACAACCAGAAGCACTGCGCTGTTGGACTATTTTAACGATGTCTTTAATAACTTTTGGGCCGGCCAGTTTCAATCCCTTTAGAAGCCTATGGAGGAGTGATCCAGCTCTCAGATTTAATCACAAATATCTTAATTTGTGTTCTGAAGATGAACGAAAGTCTTACGGGGTTGGAACAACATGAGGGAGAGTAATTACTCATTTTGGGGTGAACTAACCCTTTAAGTGGCGTGTTGTATTGTTTACATGTTGTATTGTAAAACACTTTTGCTGCTATTGAGGTAAAGGTTAGGGACAGGTGTGTGTGGTATGGGTAGGTTTTAGGGTGGGTTAAGGTGTAAGGGAAGGGTATTACATAAATTACATTAATCACAGTTGCAATTACATGCAGGTATTTTCTAAATATAAATAATATTTAAAAACATGTATGTAAACAAAAAGTCCATTGTATCAAATTATTAATTTCAATGTTAATAATTGAAGTACGTAGTCGTTAAAGCCACTTAATATAAAGTGGGACCAAACTTTCTAATTGAACGTTGAAAACTAACCTTTTGTGTTGTCATTTTTTGTTTTTCTGTGAGTCATTACATGCACACACCATCAGATGGCAGCATTGCACTTTCAATAATTACTCTGCAAATAGCACTTTTACCACAAACACTTACTTTTAATGATTCTTAATAAACGTTTAACCCTTATTGTTGAAATGAACTCTCGCAGACGGGATGAAGACATCCAGAGACGGAAGCTGGCAGTGGATCCAGTCTTAGCTGGAAGCCCAGATGCCAAGATCAAACGTCATTTACGGTTCGTTGAGTTACAACACATTCACACCGCAAACATGTAGGAGTGACAAGTGAATGCCCTACATAACTGCATCAAACTAATGTTAGCATTATACAACTTATTTATGTTCAATATGCATAACCACTTTGAAAAAATCTTATTTGTGGGGGTTTTTAACACAGTAATGCATAATCTTTAGACTATTAAAGAACAATTATTCATTAATGAATATTACATAAAGATATTATTTTTATTATTACATCTATGTAATATTTATACTGAGTTATTATTGTTATTATTACATAACCAATGTGCAGAACCTATTTTTAATGATTTTATTTCTATTTTTTGACACTATAATAAATACAATTTTGACTATTAAAGAACAATTATTCATTATGAATGTTACATAAATGTATTATTATTATATAATATATATTATACTATTATTATAATTATAAATACTTGAATCTTAATTATTGCATCAAACTAATGTTAGCATCATACAACATTTTTTATGTTTAAGTGTTCAATATCTTAAGTTTGTCTTAGTTGTATTTTTTTGACACAATACATAATCTTTAGACTATTAAAGAACAATTATTCATTTTATGTATATATATATATATATATATATATATATATATATATATATATATATATATATAAAATATATATAATATCGTGCAAAAGTTATAGTTTTGATTGTTATGCCTTACAGCTTTTGAAAACCTCGAAAATTTGAATATTACATGAAATCGATAAAAAAAGGATTTTAAGTACAGAAATGTCGGTCCTCTGAAAAGTGTGATCATGCATATGTATATAGTTATATATACTAAATATATTAGTTTCACCTTTTAATTTGAATTAATGAAATACACAAACTTTTGCATGATATTCTAATATTTCAAGTTTCACCTGTGTGTGTGTGTGTGTATATATATATATTAAGTGTATAATAATTCTTATATATACATATATATATATTCTTGACCGAATTACTTTAATTTATACAGTGAAGGGAATAGCACAAATTCCCTTTTTTTTTTTTTTTTTACATTTGATTACTTTATTCAATTTCTAATCCTGAAAATCACTGTTTATTTAAATTTGTATCTTTGCTCTATTGTATTTATTTGTGCTAGTCCTTGTAGTTTGATTATTTGTTCTTATTTTCATTTTTATTTGACAGTAGTCCTTTTTAGAAAGACACTAAAACAGTGTGTGCCTGAATAATGAAGTTATATCCTTCTGTCTCTCTCAGTGTTCCCGTACAGAAGTCTGACTCTGAGCTGAAGCCTCTGAACTGCTCGTCACGTCTGATGAGTCTCTACACGTCTCCTCAAGTCAAGTTTTACTGGAACATCGTCTCGTATTTTGGCTTCCTGTGGCTCTTTGCTGTGGTGCTCATGATCGATTTTCAGACATTTCCGTCGTGGAGAGAACTTCTGCTCTATGTGTGGCTCATCTCGCTGGTGTGTGAGGAGGTTAGACAGGTGAGACCGCGCACGCACACACACACACACACACACACACACACACACACACACACACACACACACACACACACACACACACACACACACACACACACACACACTACCTGTCAAGATTAGGATTTTCTATGTTTTTTGAAGGAAGTCTCTTCTGCTCACCAAGGCTGCATTTATTTAATCAAAATACAGTAAAAACAGTAATATTATAAAATATTATTACAATTTAAAATGTTTTTTATGAAAGCTTGTAATAACTCGCAATTCTTACTATATATATATTAGGGGTGGAACGGTACACAGAAGTCACGGTTCGGTTCATACCTCGGTTCAGACATCACGGTTCGGTACGATTTCGGTACAATGGAGGGAAAAGCAAAACAAAAATGCAGAAGGCATTGTATTTTTTAAATAAGTTTTATTATATAAAGGCATAGAACCAGTTTATTTGTAGTGCACTGACAATAGTTTTATATAATTAGTTTATTAATTAAATTAATGAAAAGACAAAAAGACCTTGCGATATGTTTGGTAATTGTACCTGAATTAATTTAAAATTAATTTGCTATATTTCAGATCAATATATTTGTTTTCCTTAATTTTAATTAACATTATTAATTAACAATGTAACATCATTCTCATCTGAATTATAAATAATTGATTTCTGTATAAAATAATACTACCATTAAAAACACATTCGATTGTCTTTTTTAATCAATGTAGAATGTAAGATTAGTGCTCCGAGGACAAGAAATGAAAACCAATCCGATATGATGAATGTCCAAAAGATGGGACCCACAGACTGTTTTGAAATGGAGTCGGATAAATATGTTTTTCTTTTAAAACAGTGTGTGTGTGTGTGTGTGTGTGATTTTGGTTGAGTGACAGTTGTAGGTTACAGTTTGACAAGAGTTTACAGTGTGCACAATGTTGTGTTTTATTGCAAGTGTACACAAATACAAGTAAACACTTTGCAGGTTTAATGATCTGTATGAACAAAATTACGGAGTATGTTTTTTTTTGTTTCCACTGTTCGGTCGCGCGCCTCTCTCTCTCCCTCTCTCTCTCACACACACACACACACACACACACACACACACAGTTCGATCTCGCCTCTCTCTCTCGCGCGCGCACACACACACACACACACAGTCCAGCATTGCAATCTTGACATCGCAGCCTTCATTATGCGGTCACACCAAACGCGAATAGAGCGTCAAATTCGCGTCTATCGCGTCTAGTTCATAAAGCCAACGTTTGAAGTGAACGCGCGTTCAGAGCTAATAGACTAGGCAGAATTTCTTAAAATGTGCTTATTTAAAGTGCTGGAGGCATTTTGTGATTATTTATATTGTACAACATTTCTAGGGGTATTAAGGGGTGCTGAATCCAAATCTGCTGTATATGAAGCTCAAAAATTTCCCAAAATGCCTCAAAATTGAGAAATTCAAAATGGCCGCCACCGTCAGGCTGAAATCTATTTTTCAGTATATCTTTTTGACTAAACAAGGTACAAACATGAAATAAATGTGCTTTTGTAAGTTTTGCTACATGGGCATTTCAATGCCATATTCAGATTTGAGATGTAATGTGAAGAAACTGCTTAGATATTGCAAAAATAGTTGTTTTTAACTACGAACTATTATTAACTCATTATTAATTCAGTTATTATTATTAATATTATCAGGCTTCTTTTACTTAGTTTGTATTTTGTTTTGAGGTCAAATGTGTCAAATGTGCTGTAATGCACTCCCCAATATCACCCCACCCCCAAGGGTAGCCTTTCTCACACTTCTCAGAACGGCTGATCGGAAACATAAGACAGCTAACAGGTAAAGTCATGTCCAGTGTATATTTTCATAATGTGACATGTTTTCATAAACATCACAAGGGGATCAATAACGTTTCTATCTATCTATCTATTAAAGCTGGGTAAAAAATATTGATTTCTCGATTTTAATCGATTTTCATTTTTACAAACCGATATCGATTCTTAAATCCCAAGAATCGATTAGTCATCCTGTTTTCAGTTGATGAATGAATGTAGCGCACATCCCATATATAGCAATAATCTTATCTATAATATATCGCAATAATCTTTGTGCTTGTTACTATTGATATTAAACAAAGTCTCAGATTTCAAATTACATCCGTTTAATTACTGGCTCAAAGAGCTAGCTAAATGAATACATATCGATGTGTAGAGGTTCCCAACCTTTTGACTGCTGAGGCCCAAATAAAATTCTGAAAATCTTTCTACAGCCCAACCAAACTTTTTTGTGCAAAAGTGGGTCAGTGCAATTAGCGCGATTAGCACACTAGCGCGATTAGCTAGATAGTAGCTGCATGATTAATCTAATTTTAATCACAATCACGATTTTGGCTTCCCACGATCAAATTCGCGTGATCTAGCGATATTTAATCATTCCGATATCATGATTTGCGTCATTCCGTTAACAGAACGCCCCTTTTCAAAGTTTTTGGGTTTTTTTTGCAAAGCCAATCTAGCGCTCCGTAAACCACTGTCTGATCAGTGCACGAGAGAGACCGAGTGTCCTAGAACGCGCTCGACAGTGCGCTCGAGATATCAAATCAAAGAGACCGATCGAGTGACAGTGCACGAGAGAGTCCGAGTGTGAGCATTAGTAAATTGCATTAGTAAATTGGTAAATACTACATAGTAATATATATAATTACTATATAAGAGGCATGGAAGTTCGATTAATGGACTCCAATAATCAGTAGGCTACTACAAACGTCTTGTTTTGAACTATTGTTTAATAAATAGAAATAATTCGAGCACATGAACTTTCATATGGAGGATTAAATAAGATTCAATTTATGCAGTAAGATCACTGACACTACCACAACCAGATTTTACATTTCTTAAGCATCAAATAACAATGACTCTGAATTTTATGCATTAATCGAACTTCCATAGTGCATAGCTCTGCCTTGAAATTTTCTTATTTGGTTACATTCTGTTATGGAATATTTGTTTTTTATTGATTGTATATTTTGAGTTTTATTCATATCCATTATACAGGTACAATTCAAGTTTATATTTTGCTTCCTAAAATATATTTACACAATGTAAAATGTAAAAAGGGCCCTGTTGAAGTTTTGCTACATTTTCTTTATTGTTTTATTTATTTTTATTTATTCTTTAAGGAGATGCACTGAATTTTGGTGAATAAGACGACCTGTTTTGATGCACATATCTGTACATTAGCAGGAATGTGGCACAATATAGATGTGAAAGCAGTTATAATTAGCCTACAGTATGTGACAATAAATATTTGTTTTGGTTAAAATCAACAAATAATCGTGATAATCAATCGTGATCTCAATATTGATAAAAATAATCGTGATTATCATTTTGGCCATAATCGTGCAGCCCTACTAGATAGCATCAAAGTCAGCAAACTTAACACACTTGCTTTTACACTGACTGATTGGGGGAAAGACTGTTTAAATTTATTGCATTTATTTCATTTAATTTATTTGAATGCAAATCTCTTTGGGTATTGTTCTACTTGAACCATTCAATCCCTTTTAGTAATCCTTCATGATTTTTTTTTTCAATTGAAAGGCCTCCCACGGCCCACCTGCAATACCTCGGCGGCCCATAGGTTGGGAACCACTGTCTTAGACCTGCATTCGTATTCTAAGAAAACTCTTTCTTGTAGGTCTGAATTAGTCAATTGGCGACAAAAACCGGATATTCTGGATCTTGTACATGTGTGGGACCGGTACTCTACACTAGCTAATGAGGCTCAATTAGATATACCATCTAGATTTCTAAGCCGAAGGAACTCCTTCAAGGAACAAATAGCTGATCGTCTTGAGGGCATATACGACTTTGTTGTACTGCATGATCAGCCTCGAAATGAACCTCGTACTGTCTTGGTTCCATCTAAATACCGGCATATTCCAGTATCAACAATGTTGAAAGACGACACCTCCAATATTCATAGAGTTATTCCTACATTCAAACATAAGGATCAAGATATGTTCCTGAACATGGTCCATGTGTCATTGCAGATCCGAAGAGATATGAACTCACATCCAAAACAAGAGGGGATAGACATCAGTGAAAACAGAGCAATAGACAGTATACCCAACAGCCTGTACATGTTCCTCAATTTGTTACTAGGTGGTCAGCGCCTGCTGGAGGATGACGTTGAAGATTATGATAAAAACACAGCCAAACGACAGCTTAGAGTCCTCAGCATTGCACAGGATCTTATGTACACAGCTAGTGGAGACAAGTTCCTCACTCCAAAGCACATAGGACTGGCCAGTACCCTTCATCAAGCTACACGTTCGAAGGAATTGGTGAACATGTTTCACCAGGCAGGTCATGTTATGAGTTACCGTGAGGTAATCAAACTTGACACTGAACTGGCTAAGACAACCTTGGAGACCATGGGGGATGATGGTGCCATTGTTCCACAAAATCTGGTAAAGGGTCGTTTTGTTCATTTCTCAGCGGACAATGTTGACATCAACGAATACACTCTGGACGGAAAAGGGACATTCCATGCCACTCAAGTGGCTGCCTGGCAACGTGGTCCACCTGAAGGTGATCTCCTTGAAGGAGTTGATCTTTACTCCAGGTCAGACACCCTCAACATCCCCAAGGCAATGACTGATATCATACCTGCACCAAAGAGAGGAATTATAGAGCGGCCAATCAGTGGTGTATTAGCAGCAGACTGTTTCACACAGTCATCTGAACAATGTCCCGCAGCACAGAAAGCACAAGCTACAGACATGGCCTTCTTCATGTCCAGGACATCTCAAAAACCAAAGCCTTCCTGGACATTGTATAATCAAAAGGCAAGCACAGTCAACCCAGAGAAAACTACAGTAGGGTATCTACCTATCATCCTGGCTCCTGCATCTGAACTCGATACACTGAACACAGTCGTCAAGCGAGTGCTCCATGTTTCCAATTCAATGGAACAACAGCATGTCATTCTGACAGTGGATGAGGCACT